GTGCGACGTCATTCGGCTGCTACTCGTGCTACTCGGGTACATATTTTTTCTCCGAGTTCGCGAGTAGGATATCCGACTTCAAATGGCGTTCCAAAGTACTGTTTCTAGTTGGAGGTCGGAAATTTCCCAGTTCCGAGATGCCTTGAACGCAGCATATGTTCCTTGTCAGTTGCAGCAGACTGAAGGAGAAAACTTTAAATGGTTACAGACAATCAAATACCAAGACGTGCAACATACAACAAGATGCCTGAGAACAAACAATGCTTCAGTCCAAAGCCAAGTAGTTTTTCTTGCCTAAACCTGACCAAACTGCCTATATACAAGATGTGAAAAAAAAACAACCTCTCATAGGACACTGAAGTGAACTTTGTGTGTCAAATACAGACTTATTTATAGCTTTGTTCCACTTTTAGTTATGTGCACAAATGTAAGCGACTTGCTGGGAAGCAGGTGAAGGTGGCCTCCAGGTTTTTGTACATGTCAAAGCAGGGATCAGAATCAGAAAGAGCTCATTGCCAAGTAGTGTTTTACACATACGATTTGCTTTGGTGATAAGGTGCTACAGGTAGACAAACATACAGTTGACATAAATAAATCTAGAAATATAAAAATATGGAATAAACAATGCAAGTTATATAAGAATAATAAAAAGAACAGAGAAAAATAATACAACGTGGCAGATATTTACATGTGCCTTATTCGGGTTTGTGTTGTGAAGACGTATTGCAACGGAAGAGAGTATTGTGTAGATGAATATATAAATGGACAAAATACAAAAATATAGAACAACAAGGATTAACAATTGACAAGAAGTATGTGCAATGTGCCAGCTTTGTGCATGAAATGAGACATTTGTATTACTTGAAAGGGGGGAGTATCAATCAGCGAGGGACGGGCCTTCTTGATGAGACTGCAGACGGGAAGACGCTGTTTTTGTGGCGAGAGGTTTTGGTCCTGATGGACCGCAGCCTCCTGCCAGCGGGGAGAGTCGTAAACAGTTTGCGTCCAGGGAGGGAGGGGTCAGCTGCAATCTTTCCTGCTCGCTGCAGAGTCCTGGAGGCGTACAGGTCCTGAAGTGAAGGAAGATTGCAGCCAATCACCTTCTCTGCAGAGCAAATGATATGCTGCAGCCTGCCCTTGTCCCCGGCAGTGGCAGCAGCGTACCAGATGGTGATGGAGGAGGTGAGGATGGACTCAATGATGGCGGTGTAGAAGTGCACCATCATTGTCTTTGGCAGGCTGAACTTCTTCAGCTGCCGCAGGAGGTACATCCTCTGCTGGCCTTTTTGGTGAGGTAGGTGATTTCCAGCTCCCACTTGAGGTCCTGGGAGATGATGGTGCCCAGGAAGGATGATGGGGGAGGGTGGGGTTGTGCTCTTTCTAATATCCACCACCATCTCCACTGTCTTCAGAGAGTTGAGCTCCAGACTGTTCTGGCTGCACCAGGGCACCAGATGGTCAGAAGCACAGACAAAAATCGTCCTTTGAGTCAACCAAAAGCACACTCCACAGTCATACGAGCTTGGCTGAGGCGGTAGTTGAAGTATTGCTGATCGTTAGTTAGCTGTCCATTGTGAAGATAAGGCTGCATGAGGAGGTATGTGCATCTCCCAGAAGCGTGACAGGGTTGCTGATGTGCCATGAATGTCACGGGTGACCTAGCAATGTAGAACACAAATTTGTTCTTATTGGTCACAGTGAGTATGTTGGAATAACAGATTGAACAGTAAAGAAGGATGGTTGAATTATGCTTTTGTAGTGCAGCAGTAGAAGTGGGGTGCAACCGAAAGGGATTTAAATTTACGGATGGCAGAGAGTCTTTGTTGGCAGCGTTGAAAGTGTTTATTGTCCAGAGTGAGCCGAGGTAGCTGAAGCACTCCACCCATTCAACAGCTACAATTTATGTATGTAGAGTTGGGGGTGACATTATGGGCTGTGCTGTGGGTTGGGGTGTTAATCAACATTTCTTTTGTTTTGCATCAGCTGAAGCATAACTTTGGACACTCACAGCAGTCCAGTCCTTTTTGGTCTTTAGCCCAAAACAGACGTTCTTGTTATTAAGGTGACCAAGGAATGCGACAGCTCGTCACCCATGTCTTGCATACTTCTGTGCGTGTGGTTCTTGAACACTGATCCTGCGCATCCATGTGTTGAGAATCTCCCCTTGACACTGTTCTTGATCGGAAAAGTTTATTACTTGAAGGAGTTCTAACATCAATTACAAGCTCTTCGCAGCTTGGAGAGTGACACAGAGCCGTGAACACTCAGCCTCTCTATACATCAAACATCATATAGGATATGTTTTGGTATCTGCTAGGTACCATAGAAGGGTTTGAGCCTGCAGAATAGACTCAAACCCATAGAAGGGTACAGTGCTATTCTGAGGTAACAAGCTGATTTGAGTGTGGCACCAGGTCTTCAATATTGAACCTTTTCACAATATTCTAATTTTCTGAGATACTGATTTTGGGGGTTTCATTAGTTGTCAGTTATAATCAAAATTATTGTGTGTGGAATGAATGTATACATATTACAAGTTTCACTTTTGAATGAAATTACTGAAATAAATCAACTTTTGATGATATTCTAATTATATGACCAGCACCTGTATACATTACCAATTGAAGCAGAGCACTGACTTTCAATCGTTCTTCCTTGGGCTCCAAAAACAATAACTTCAGTTTTATCTTGGTTTAACTGAAGAAAATTCTGGCACATCCAACTGTTGATTTGTTCAATACAGTTACTCAGCGCTTGTATGGGATCATAGTCACATGGCGATATAGTTATATCAATGTGTGTGTCATCTGCATAATTATGATAACATATTTTGTTCTTCTATTCGTATAGGCTTCGCCTTCTAAGGCTATCGCTATTGGGTTTACCCCTTGTGAGAGGGGTACATGATGCTCTGTATATCTCAAGTAACTTGTGTTGCAATACTTAGATAATACAGGACAGGATAGCACTACACACAACCCTGCGTGTAGTGTTATCGCTGTGTGACAAGCTGTGTTGTGCACTGTACATGTGTGATATATGGCATCAAGTGTGTGCCAAACACGTTAGGCATCGCAGGCGACAGTGACGCTGGGGAGAATTGTGTTTTCTTGGAACTACAGAACACATTGTGTGAGCCAGCTGTGGGTTAGCCAAACGGCTAACAAGCAGCCTGGGCTTGCTACAAAGCTGCACATCCTCTCTCCCCTTGCCCCCCTCCTGAAATGGTCAGGTGGCTGGCCTGAGCCCACATGTACGCCTCCCCCGCCCTCTTCCCTTAGCGGGCGAGCGGCGCGCCGATGAGCCCCTGCCTCCCTCCCCTCACCAGGTGAGTGGCATAACGGACAGGCTGCAGCTGGTCGGATGGCTTTCATGCAGTCTGGCTTCGATGCCACAAGCAGAATATTTCCTCCTCGGCCCGCCACCGTCTCTACGAAGTCAGTGGCTGCCGTCACACCGCGTGGACCAGCTGCAGCTGGCCGTGCGGCCTTCATGCAGCATGGCTTCGATGTCGCAGGCTGACCTTTTCAGCATTGGCTCGCTTTCTGCTCGATGCACAGATGGATGGACAGCCTGATCCGCTGGGATCACAGGCTGCAGTTCGCACCCCCCCCCTTCGCCGGGATTGTGGAGACTGTGCTCTCCTCCTCGGCTCAGAACGCCGCTACTTCCTGGTCAGGAAGAAGACGGGCGGTGTGAGGCCCATCCTGGACCTGTCACTGTTCAACACGGCAATTATGGTGAGACCTTTTCGCATGTTAACAGTAAAAACAGTTGATGGAGTGTGTGCACCAGGGAGACTGGCTCTCTTCCATCTACCTGAAGGTCGCGTACTTTCATGTGTCCGTCATTCCCGGACACAGGAACTTCTGCGGTTTTCATTCCAGGGCGCCCAGTACCAATACAACCGGCTGCCCTTCGGTTATTCCCAAGTGTGTCGAGACGGCCCTGGAGCCGCTGCGGCGGTCTGGCATCAGGGTCCTATTTTACCTGGTCGACCTGCTGCTGGCGCCGTCCCGGGACGAGGGGTGGTGCAGACGGCCCAGCTAGTCGAACACCTGTCTTACCTGGGCTTCACGGTGAACTGGAAGAAGAGTGCTCTCTCCCCTCCCGGAGACTCACCTATGTTGGCGTGGTACTGGACTCCTCTCTCAGGAGAGGGTGGATGCTCTGATGGAGCTGCTCCACCATGTTTATTTTGCCTCTTCCTTCTGCTAACATTTTTGGGTGTTAGAGACACTTACAAAATTCAGCATTTGAGCTGCTTACGGGAAAGACTCTGTACATGTGGTCAGAAATAAACCTGGAGCTACAAGAACCCCTGAAGTAATTGTGTCCTGTGTGGCATCTAATTCCAGGGGCTACACAATATAAGCTGATAGCGGCCCAGAATGACTGAGATTCTGGTAGCATTAGGAGTTTGAATTGTCACCTGCCACTTGAATTTTGTGTTTCTCTTTACATAACATTTACCATCGAGTGCAGAAAAATTTATCAGAATGCAGGAATTAGAGTGTTTAATGCTCAAACACTAAAGATTTCTTAAAATCGCATCTCAGTCTCGAATCTACAGACTTTCATCTGTTTGCAATTCAGATAGCGCAACAATGCTTTAAGTGGTTTCCCCAAATTCAGCAGAAAATGCAACTTCTGACTTCTCTAGTCTCAAAAGTCAAGCATTTTTAGTACTTGCCGTTATGACCTGCTGCAAACGAGATTCTGGCAGAGTTCCTGAGGAATCCGGGCCCATTGCTCATGAGCAATGGCCTCCAGTTCAGTAATATTCTGGAGTTTGCGTGCTTCAACTGCCTTCTTCAAATCCCAGAGATTTGAGGTTCAAGTCAGTCGGCCGATACAAGCTAGTTGCATTTCAAACAGCAGAGACAGATCTTTGCTTTTACCACCACGTCAAGTTAAAAATTATTGCAACACAAATAATATTAGCTCTGGGACTGAACTATACCATTTGATCATTTATTGTAATGAACCAGAACACAAGGTGAGGCGAGGCAGATTTTATTTGTGCATCACAAGATGATAACAGAAGAGGCAATTCCTTGATCAAAGGCTTATTAAAGCAAGTTTTGTTCCCATTTTGAGTCATTTGTGGAGCAACTGTATTTGGACACTTAGCCCAGTATGAGATGGTGAACAACAGTTTAATATGCCGCTGTCCAGATACTTTTGGCTATATGCTCCATTTGGAATTTCAAAGTCTCATTGGTTGCATCCGCTGACGCCGTACATTGCCATGTTTTGTTGTTTAATTCCCACGCTCTGCAAAACAAGAGACAAGACATTAGACAGATGAAGTTTGAGAGCTCAAACATGTTCCGTTACTGCCGCCATCGTGACAATATAGACAGTTTTTCCCCATTCCACTTGAAGAATTAATGCAACCTCACCGAATGGCATGTCCTTGTTTTATGTATAAGCAGGAGTCTGCTAACCTACCAATATTTTGCTTTACACGACCACAGATCAGCTTCAGTGGAGTGAAACATCCCAACAGGGCCTTTCAAGTACTTACTTTTACATGTGTAAGCCACCTCCAGGTACTTGTAAGTGCCAACACAGGGGTCTCCAAACACTGAGTTGCTGGCTTTGATAGTACAGCTGTGTTTCCCATTGCACCTGCGGATACAGAGTGAATACAGTAAATGGGGATGTCACATGAGAAAGATGTGGATGATATTAATCCCCATTGTTTAACAAGATGAGAGGGCAGCTGTACTTTTCAGCAACTTTGCTCGTGGGGTTTAAGCAGTTGACATTTCGGAGCTGAGAGGCAGGTCGTTGGGAAGAGCATGTGGTGGAGTCACGGCGTCCATAATGAGCACTGTAGACAGATATAACCTCTTTTGCATCTGACAGAGAGGAGGAGATGGTCAGTATCAGTGTTGAACCGCAACACCTTAATCCACCGAAAATACGAAGGAGAAAGTGTGATCTTACCACACTGCAGCGTTGCCGGAGAGTCCTCGCATGTTACGCTGACGACTGTCAAAGTAAAGATTAACATTAGACATGTTGCACTCACTTCTTTGCGGCTTTGCTTCACTTTTAGTTACGTGCATGTCACCTGCTGGGAGGCAGGTGTAGGTGGTCTCCAGATATTTGTAGATGCCATGGCAGGGATCAGAAGCATGGAAGATGTTTGGGTTTATGTCACACACCCTCTTGCCATTACATCTGCAGGAAGAAGAAAAAGGCTTTAGCTTTCACAATATATACTATGTGAAGCAATTTACACCATGCTTTGAATTGCCGGTGTGTGAAGGACATCATTTAGCTGATGCTTTTATCCAAAGCGACTTACAATTGCTACACATGTCTGGAGCAACTAGGGGTTAAGTGTCTTGAACCCAGGTCTCACACCAAAGGCATGTGTCTTATGCATTGCGCCATCACCAACCCACCACAGAAGGATTCATCCTCTGGTGACCATGACTGTATAAAATCTGGTGCCAGATTCTAATTTTGAATTGTACCTTTTCCCCATATCCACAGTGACCTGCAGAGAACACTTGGTGTTGGCAAGCTGCTGGGGAGATTTGCCCTTACTGCAGGTCGCCTTGTCTGCACGTCCATACACAGCATTCTGCACACTGATCACTCCTTTTGGTGCTACACACCAGAGGGAAACAAACTTGGTCAGAGAGCAAAACTTGGTCTCTCTATACTGTCAACAGAAGTCCGAAACTGACAGTGTTAGTCTGTCAATGTGATCTGTTCAGTTTACAGTACTTTCATTAAAACACAAAAGACTTCAACTGGGAAAATAGTGCACTTACAGGGGACTAAATTGTTTTGCTTGTTGCCTTAAAAACACAAACTTTTGAGTTCAGTCATACCACAGCTCAGGCGTTGGACGTCGTCATCACATGTGATCACTTTCACCTTGGACGAGGGGTCCACAACGGTGGCTCTAGAAAGTCCTAGAATGAAAAATTTGTTCTGGGAGTCATGCATTTTGGAATAAATACACACTTGTTGTGGAATAAGTTTTAAGGATGAGCGTAGTCAAGGCAGAGAGAGAAGGACGATTAGTGAAGTCAGGAAATGAAAGTGACCAGTGGACAAAGAGCAAAAACATCCAGTTACCTGCTCTCATAAGCAAACACATTGCTGCCAGCACTGGAAGAGAAAAAAAAACATGTTTATTAGTCTTGTAACTTCTGTGTAAATCCAGTTTAGCAATGTTCTGGGAGTTGATGGTAACACCATGAAACACTAAAATCTTTCACAGGGGAGCTGAAGTGCCTGCGCAGAGTCCAGAACCCAAGAGATACAGAAGTATCTGCTGTCAGCCAGACTACAGAGCAGCTTCTTCCCCCAGTGAGACCCCTAAACTCAATCTCAGCACTGCACCATGCAAAATAGGCATTTTTTGGTGTGACTTGTTCTTTATCCACTCATCTACAGAATATAAATTGTGAGTAGCTTAAATGGAACTACAACTTAATCTCATTATACAACCCTGTGTTGAAAAATGATGACTAAATCTACCTTGTAGTAAGTTAGTTGCGTACTTACACAGGGTGGTGCAGAGTCTGGAGCAGAGCATGGTGTTTAGAAGATCTGGCTTGAGTTGAGTTGAATTGATTGCAGTGAAACACACACACCTGCTATTTATTGTGTTGAGGGGAAAGACCTGCCTCTCTCTGTGCAAACTAGTCACCAATAAAAAAAACCTGGAATGATGCTGCATTCCAGACCGGTCGGAACTGGGAAATTTCCAAGTTGAAATACACGACTTCCGACCTCACGACTTCCGACCTCAAAGCGTTTCAGTTGCATGGTGGTGCAAGACGCTAAATGTAATTTATGCAAAGTTAAACCCTCAACAGTGCACTCGGTGTTAATTAAAAGGATGGCCATTTTATTTAAAACAAGTGAGAAATACACGTTACTCGTCAACTGTGCATCCTTCTAGCTACATCAGTTGGTAATCCTCAAAAGTCAGCAAAAGTTTTAGGCTATATTTCCAAATGTTTTCACATTTCTGGGCATTTTTAACATTTTCCTCAATAACTTTTGGATACAGAAGATGACTTTCAGATATTGTTTACTGTAAGCAGCTACCTAATTACACTGACAAAATATTTCTACATCACTTTACATGCAGAACAAGTTTTACTATTTGAGACTAGTATGTATTATTTTATTTGAATTCTTTACTTTGCCTTTTAGTTTCCGCTTTTACCATTTACAATGTGTGCTTCCACGGGAGCTGCCATTGTTGTGCGACGTCATTCGGCTGCTACTCGTGAAGTCGGGGTACATATTTTTTCTCCGAGTTCGCGAGTAGGATATCCGACTTCAAATGGCGTTCCAAAGTACTGTTTCTAGTTGGAGGTCGGAAGTTTCCCAGTTCAGAGATGCCTTGAACGCAGCATGAGTTCCTTGTCAGTTGCAGCAAACTGAAGGAGAAAACTTTAAATGGTTACAGACAATCAAATACCAAGACGTGCAACATACAACAAGATGCCTGAGAACAAACAATGCTTCAGTCCTGCGTTTGCTTCGGTTTACGTGAAGCCTGTGGCGATTTCCTAAACCTAACCAAGTAGTTTTTCTTGCCTAAACCTGACCAAACTGCCTATATACAAGATGTGAAAAAAAACAACCTCTCATAGGACACTGAAGTGAACTTTGTGTGTCAAATACAGACTTATTTATAGCTTTGTTCCACTTTTAGTTATGTGCACAAATGTAAGCGACTTGCTGGGAAGCAGGTGAAGGTGGCCTCCAGGTTTTTGTACATGTCAAAGCAGGGATCAGAATCAGAAAGAGCTCATTGCCAAGTAGTGTTTTACACATACGATTTGCTTTGGTGATAAGGTGCCACAGGTAGACAAACATACAGTTGACATAAATAAATCTAGAAATATAAAAATATGGAATAAACAATGCAAGTTATATAAGAATAATAAAAAGAACAGAGAAAAATAATACAACGTGGCAGATATTTACATGTGCCTTATTTCGGGTTTGTGTTGTGACGTATTGCAACGGAAGAGAGTATTGTGTAGATAAATATATAAACGGACAAAATACAAAAATATAGAACAACAAGGATTAACAATTGACAAGAAATATGTGCAATGTGCCAGCTTTGTGCATGAAATGAGACATTTGTATTACTTGAAAGGGGGGAGTATCAATCAGCGAGGGACGGGAAGACGCTGTTTTTGTGGCGAGAGGTCTTGGTCCTGATGGACCGCAGCCTCCTGCCAGCGGGGAGAGTCGTAAACAGTTTGCGTCCAGGGAGGGAGGGGTCAGCTGCAATCTTTCCTGCTCGCTGCAGAGTCCTGGAGGCGTACAGTTCCTGAAGTGAAGGAAGATTGCAGCCAATCACCTTCTCTGCAGAGCAAATGATATGCTGCGGCCTGCCCTTGTCCCCGGCAGTGGCAGCAGCGTACCAGATGGTGATGGAGGAGGTGAGGATGGACTCAATGATGGCGGTGTAGAAGTGCACCATCATTGTCTTTGGCAGGCTGAACTGCTTCAGGGCCTTTTTTGGTGAGGGAGGTGATTTCCAGCTCCCACTTGAGGTCCTGGGAGATGATGGTGCCCAGGAAGGATGATGGGGGAGGGTGGGGCTGTGCTCTTTCTAATATCCACCACCATCTCCACTGTCTTCAGAGAGTTGAGCTCCAGACTGTTCTGGCTGCACCAGGGCACCAGATGGTCAGAAGCACAGACAATGTTTGTGTTTGTTTCACACACTCTCTTGCCATCACATCTGCCGGTTGGAGATAAATATCAAAGGTGTGTCCCTTATCCCTCAAATGCAAGTAAACTCTGAGTCTTGCCCCTGAGACCTGAGGCTTTGGCCCTTCTGTGTTGAGCCATGAGTTTGTGTAGCGTTTGTTTAGTTTCCCCGATATACAGGTCTGTGTTTTCCCCACTGCATTGGATAGCATTCACTAGATTGCTTTTCTTGTTTGGGACCATTCACACCTGGTATCCAGGAATCCAGATAATGAAAAATGCATGTTAATTTAAGGTGTAAATCCCTTGTGAGTGGATCTGTCTGACCACATCTGGAGGTAGTCTGGCTCGCATTAGGTTCAGATCTTTGGTAGGTGTAAACGCAATATGTACGACATGCTGGCATCTGTACCTACCGAACATAATCATTCCCCGAAAACAGGCAGAGGTCAGAAGTTAGCTAAATGGAGGACCAAAGTAGGCTATACATCTACTAGTAGAAAAAGGTAGAAGTGGAAGATGCATGTCCCTTATGCCATCAGGAAACAAGATGCCTAGTAGCTTTATGAGGTGACAGGACTGTCCAAGCAAAACTAGACAGTTACTATAAAAAAAAAAAAAAGGTCAATTGACAACGACATTTAATAACAAATGGAACAACAAGGCTGGTCAACCCGGTCTCACTCCCAAGTCGTCACATATGGACGCTTGGTCAAGAGCCATAATCGTCAGTTTGTGACACACTAGGGATCCCTTTGACGTCATAGTTCGACGTATTGAGGGAAGCCCTGTTGTGTCAGTTTTTGATGGTAAAGGCAAGTATGATATTTAAGAGAAAAGACGAAGTAAGGAGGTGATTGGGGTGGATAGAGGGCCAGAACCCGGACCTTGAAGCAGGAGAACAGGGTTTCTGTCCCGTGCGAAACAAAACATTAAATGTTTTTATTTAAGCGAGTGAGGTAAATTGACATTAACGTTAGTTAACTTAAGTCTTAATTGACATACATAGCTATTTTAACCCAAACCATGATCTTTTCCTAACCTTAACCAAGTAGTTTTGTTGCCTAAACCCAACCAAGTACTTTCTGTGCCTAAACCTAACGAAACTGCAATATTTCACGACTTTAATTATGCGCGTTTCAACATGGCAATGTATCGAAACGTTACGTTTTATCTTGAAAGTGTAACCGGATATTGCATATTTATTGTTGCTAAGCATTGCTAACTTGACTGTGGATCCCTAAACGTCAATAATTGATGCAAAAGGGCTACCCAAGTCTTTAAAAAGCGACGACAAAGGGCCTTGACCATGCGTCAGACATTTGACGAGTAGGGAGTGAGACTGTGTTGGGCTGGTACTCTGCTACTTCCTCATCCACCTTATTCCCCTGTCCTATCCAGTTCAATCCATTCAGACTAGCTCGGAGAAAAAAAAAATCAATCAATCAATTTTGACAGATCACTTGAAACATTTTGCAAAGATCTGCACATCCGCCTCAACAACTGACAACTTAAATTACAAGCAGCACAACTGTGATGGCCCGAGCCACACAGGGGAACAGCCAGCAATGGTAATACAGTACACAAGTTTACCTCATTTTGTTCAGAACACAGGTGAAGGTGTTTATGCAGTCAGCCACACCCCAAACATTTAACAAGACACAATTACAGATGATAGTTTATTTCACTTGTAATATACAGTGGGTACGGAAAGTATTCAGACCCCTTTAAATTTTTCACTCTTTGTTTCATTGCAGCCATTTTCCAAAAATCAAAAAAGTTCATTTTATTTCTCAGTAATGTACACTCAGCACCCCATCTTGACAGAAAAAAACAGAAATGTAGAAATTTTTGCAAATTTATTAAAAAAAAAACTGAAATATCACATGGTCATAAGTATTCAGACCCTTTGCTCAGTATTTAGTAGAAGCACCCTTTTGATCTAATACAGCCATGAGTCGTTTTGGGAAAGTTTTTCACATCTGGATTTGGGTATCCTCTGCCATTCCTCCTTGCAGATCCTCTCCTGTTCTGTCAGGTTGGATGGTAAACGTTGGTGGACAGCCATTTTCAGGTCTCTCCAGAGATGCTCAATTGGGTTTAAGTCAGGGCTCTGGCTGGGCCATTCAAGAACAGCCACGGAGTTGTAGTGAAGCCACTCCTTCGTTATTTTAGCGGTGTGCTTAGGGTCATTGTCTTGTTGGAAGGTAAACCTTCGGCCCAGTCTGAGGTCCAGAGCACTCTGGAAAAGGTTTTCGTCCAGGATATCCCTGTACTTGGCCGCATTCATCTTTCCCTCGATTGCAACCAGTCGTCCTGTCCCTGCAGCTGAAAAACACCCCCACAGCATGATGCTGCCACCACCATGCTTCACTGTTGAGACTGTATTGGACAGGTGATGAGCAGTGCCTGGTTTTCTCCACACATACCGCTTAGAATTAAGGCCAAAAAGTTCTATCTTGGTCTCATCAGACCAGAGGATCTTATTTATCACCATCTTGGAGTCCTTCAGGTGTTTTTTAGCAAACTCCATGCGGGCTTTCATGTGTCTTGCACTGAGGAGAGGCTTCCGTCGGGCCACTCTGCCATAAAGCCCCGACTGGTGGATTGCTGCAGTGATGGTTGACTTACTACAACTTTCTCCCATCTCCCGACTGCATCTCTGGAGCTCAGCCACAGTGACCTTTGGGTTCTTCTTTACCTCTCTCACCAAGGCTCTTCTCCCCCGATATCTCAGTTTGGCCGGACGGCCAGCTCTAGGAAGGGTTCTGGTCGTCCCAAACGTCTTCCATTTGAGGATTATGGAGGCCACTGTGCTCTTAGGAACCTTAAGTGTAGCAGAAATTTTTTTTTTTTGTAACCTTGGCCAGATCTGTGCCTTGCCACAATTCTGTCTCTGAGCTCTTCAGGCAGTTCCTTTGACCTCATGATTCTCATTTGCTCTGACATGCACTGTGAGCTGTAAGGTCTTATATAGACAGGTGTGTGGCTTTCCTAATCAAGTCCAATCAGTATAATCAAACACAGCTGGACTCAAATGAAGGTGTAGAACCATCTCAAGGATGATCAGAAGAAATAGACAGCGCCTGAGTTAAATATGAGTGTCACGGCAAAGGGTCTGAATACTTATGACCATGTGATATTTCAGTTTTTCTTTTTTAATAAATTTGCAAAAATTTCTACATTTCTGTTTTTTTCTGTCAAGATGGGGTGCTGAGTGTACATTACTGAGAAATAAAATGAACTTTTTTGATTTTTGGAAAATGGCTGCAATGAAACAAAGAGTGAAAAATTTAAAGGGGTCTGAATACTTTCCGTACCCACTGTACATATTCATTTGCTTTTAGCCACACTGTTTAAATGAAGTTCGCACATTGTAGGGTTAAGTAATCATTTTAATTTATAGATTTTTTGCCATTTTACCCAGCAGCCTCCTTCCCAAGGCCATGGCACCGAACAGTACTTGAACCCCCAGTTACAGATGACACAGTTTAACCGCCAGTGCCAGCACCTCACTCTCCACCTTCTTAATGCGACCCAAAGTCAAAGAAGGAAAAAGAGGAGAGAGAGAATGTATGCACTCTGGCTAGCATTTAGTAGTCTGACTTGTAGTTTTAATACTTTGCTTCTGTTCTTTCATATTTTGCAGTATTTTCATATCAGCACTCTTTATGGCACATTCACAACCGTTCTGAACTTTGGATGAGAATTCAGCACCCATAGAAGAGATGGTTCTGTTTAAATGTTTTTCTCCCATTTATGAAGGTTTGCTATCCAGAATTTATTGATCCAGTGTAAGAGTATCCCAGTAGTTTAATTGTACTATTGATCATTTGCACTTATGCCTTTTCAGTGGATAATAAAGTTTATTACAAAAGGCATCCGTAGCAGCAAGCAGTTACAACATGTGGAACTCACAAGATTTGAACAGCCATTCTTTTCAGAAGGCATCTCCATCGTCCTTTGAGTAAACCAAAAGCACACTCCACAGTCATACGAGCTTGGCTGAGGCGGTAGTTGAAGTATTCCTGATCGTTAGTTAGTTGTCCATTGTGAAGATAAGGCTGCATGAGGAGGTATAGTGCATCTCCCAGAAGCATGACAGGGACTGATGTCCCATGAATGTCACGGTTGACCTGGAAATGTAACACGCACACACATTTGTTGTATCTGACTGTATATCACTATCTCACATATCTATAGACATGACATGTGTGTGATAGATAAATACAAAAACAAATACAAATAGACTGTATGCAAGTCAAGAGAATAAATATACTACTGTGTACCTAATGCTTTGTCCTGTCAGTATGTATATATCTTGCTCAAAGTTTCATCTTTCTCTTTTTTTCAAAGATTTTATAACTTAATTGAAATGCAATATTACAGAGTGGACTTTATAGAATCCAAAATTTCTTTGCTTTTCATATACTTTTACAAAGCTTTCTTTTACAGCTCTGACAGGAAGGTGTAACATATTACTACAAACACAATTTGCAGGCTCATATTTATTTAAATATAAAACAAACAGTGATAAAGTATTCAGCAGTAAACTATATACACATTTGTAAAGAAACGTTTAGACGGAGAAGAGTCCAGTGGTCCAGCAGAAGCAGAAGTATTTGTCTCCTACAAATGACCCTATGTACTGCAGTGGATATTCTTACAACTCATGGGAGGCAATGTCGCTACCGCTACCTCCTGGTGTAGCTAATAAACTGCTCTCACACTTACAGATCTCTGTTTACAGATCTCTGTGGTACAGATTGGACAAAATTCCACAAATGCGTAAAAAGGAAGTCACAAATGTAACGTGACCTGCAAATTGACAGGAAATGATCCACAAATGCGTAGATAACACTTAAATTATGTAAGTAAGTTGTACATATTTGCTAATTGCTCTGTAACCAGACCCACAAATTGACAGGAAGTAATCTGCAAATGCGCAAAAACTGTTTTGTGTGTAGTCATTCTGTATTTTTGTGGATATGATTTTACACATCACAAATGCAAAAACTACATATTTATAGATAGTGAAATATTTGCGCATCATAGTATACATTTGCGGATTGTTTTCTGTGGGTTACAAATATTGAAGTCCAATAAAATCTTCCATAGCTTCCTGGCCAGCCAACATATGTGTTGGTGAACCCACCACACACAGGCCTACATGCTGTTTATTTCAAACCCACAGAACTTTAATTACAGGGATATGCTGCATACGATCTTGCCTGAATATGTTCTATTTGACGTAAAGTCTTTTTGAAATAGCCTAAACCAAAACTGATGAACAATGAAGTATGAGATAGACTACAAAATATATATAGCTATTAGGGGTGTGATGAGATCTCGTACCACGAGCTCTCGCAAGATTAAATTATGACGATATTTCTTGTCAGATAAAAAGGTGTCTCGCGAGACTCATGCAGTTGCCATTTTTCACATGTAATGTTTCAAATGTAATTATAACTGATGATGCAACATCGGCATACGCCCTGATAGGAATCAACTGAACTGTTTCAGTTACTTTCGGTTTCACATGCAGTCCCAAACTTCTTTGCTCAAACGGTCTGAAGGGGATAACGTTTCTACCAGCGGTTCAATAAGGTAATGCACTGCAGAGTAAAGGGCAGGTAGACTTCTCATTAAATGATGCCGTTAGTCTGGTAATATTATGACTTTATTGTGGGCATGCCAGAGAACACAGATCTGTGGGAGAGATTCTGAATGTGCATAAAGTTTTGAACATGAGTAGAAAACCTGCTGAAACACAGGAGCTATTAGAGTCCAGGAGTTTATAACTAAATTAAAATAAAATTATTTATCATAATAATTGGTGAAAAGGTGCCTCAGTTACATTTAAAGAGGTTACGTCCCCAAACAAAGACACAAGGTGGAGGGAAGACTAAATCATGACTCAGCAGGGATGATAATAATTAAGTTGATCTACAGCAGAAACAGATCCGATGGCAGCACAGAATGACAGAGCTGCACTGACTTAGATTCTGGTAGCGTTAGGCTATAGAGTTTGAATTGTCACCTGCCATTTCAATTTTGTGTTTCTCTTTACATAAATAAAAATTGCACCATAAACTGGTGCAGAAAAATTCATCAGAATGCCGGAATTAAAGTATTTAATTCAGCACTAAAGATTTCTTTAAAATAGTGTTAAAATCTCGTCTGACTCTGAATCTCATTAACCCAATCTCTAATCTTTTCTCGTCACACACCTTTATTTGTTTCACAGGAAGAATACACATAGGCTTTGTTAAATTTAAATAAAATGCAACCGAGCTACAAGCTTGTCCCTGGTTGGGCTTTTAAGGTATAAATGCTATATAAATGACCATATTTATATAGTAAATAAGTTTATTTTCAATCTGTCTTTTGTAAGTACCACAACTTTACAGAAGTGCAATACAAAATTGCCAGAGGAGCAATTTAACAATATCTAACATTTTATTTATTCAATGAAATGGTATTTCCCTACATTATGTTCCAAATATATCAAAGCCTTCTATTTTATGCAAGTTACCAGATAATCCTTTGTTTTAATATGTTTTTTGTGTAGAAAAAAAAAAAGTTAATTTTAAGATATTTAACAAGAATACTTAAAAAAAAAAAAATTAAACACACACAAATAAGCCTCCCCAAATCCCCAGAAATATTAGCTATGGGACTGAACTATACCGTTTGATATTGTGGTGTAATGAAACAGAACCAAAGGTGAGGCAAGGCCAATTTTATTTGTGTATCACAATGAGGCGGAAATTAATTAATTACAGTAGAATCAAATAAAAACAAAAGTAAATCAAATCAATTTTTTCCATTTTTACTTATTTGTTGAGTAACTATATTTAAACTATAAGGCCAAAAGTATGTGGACATCTTACCCCAGTGGTGAACAACTGCATGAATGTAATTTTCAGGTGTCCAAATACTTTTGGACAAATGGTGTATTAGAAATTTTGATAGTTTCATTGGTTGCTTGATTACTTCTGTTTTATCATAAACTGAAAACATTCTGCTGACTCAGTCCGCCTTTTATCCAAAGCACATACATTGCGATGTTTTGTTTAATTCCCAGGATCTGCAAAATAAAGACATAAAACACTGACTTTAGACTGAATTCAGTTTCTGAGAGCAGAAACGTGTTCTGTTACTGCAGAATGACATTTTTTAAAATGGCATTTTACACATTAAAATTCCTCCTTGACTAAGAAAAAGCAGTTTGACAAACAATCTTAACTCACTTACCAGCTTTTAATCACTAGGATAAAGACTAGTAAGTATGCCTTTACTTATCTTTTACCCTTTGTTAAACACAGCCATTGTTCAGTCATAGCTTAGAAACCATAATGTACAACAGACTGGTCATGTTTTACATTTCTCTGGTGTTTATCTGCTGTAAGGTAAGCTGTAAATGTTACCATGTCTAGTTAACTAGCTCACTGCCTGACAGCAGTAACGCATTTTTATTTTCAAGTGTTACAGGTTAAGTTAGAAAAAGACTGCTAAAAAAAAAAATGCTACTACAGACTTCATGTTAACATAAGCGGCTCTGCCCTGATTGGGGGAAGTTTACACTCCAGTAACCCCAGCCAACCTTGTAACCCAAGACAAACACATTACATTTGATAATTATAAAAAAACTTTTCTCTTCAAATATTAAATGTGAAAACATACCATTTAAACATACAAATAAAGAAAAAAATCTCGTAACCCCTCTATACTATACAATTAAAACAAGGTTATGTTAGAAGGAAATATCTGTGTGATCTTAAATATTCTAATCATAATGTGCTGTTTGTTATATTAGGAATAACTAGTAGTAGACTTATGCTGGGTTCAGAAGTACACAGCACAACTGTTTCGTCTAGACTACCATATTTAGCCGGCTGCAATCGTGACCCGGCCCCAGATAAACTGAAGAAAATAGATTCCACTTGAAATCAAGAATTAACGCGACCTCACTGAATGACACGTCACATGTTTTATGTATAAGCAGGAGTCTGCTAACAACATTATGTGGACATACTGATATTTTGCTTTACATGACCACAGATCAGCTTCAGTGGAGTGAAACATCCCAACAGGGCCTTTCAATTACTTACTTTTACATGTGTAAGCCACCTCCAGGTACTTGTAAGTGCCACCACAGGGGTCTCCAAACACTGAGTTGCTGGCTTTGATAGTACAGCTGTGTTTCCCGTTACAGCTGTGGATGAAGAGTGATGTGTTTGAATGTGCACAGAAGACTGGGAAAAATGGGTGTTTTGTATGGTATTTTCCCCATTGTTTAAGAGTGAGCAGTTGTACCTTTCAGCAACTTTGCTTGTGGGGTTGCAGCAGTCGACGTTTTCGACCTGAGAGGCAGGTCGTTGGTAGGAGCATGTGGCGGAGTCACGGCGTCCATAATAAGCACTGTAGACAGATATAACCTGTCTTCCAGCTGTCAAAAAGAGGAGATATTCAATATCCGTGTTTAACTGCAAAAAATATATAACTTTATCACTTTAATCCACCAAAAATACAAAAACAAAAGAGAAAGCTTGATCTTACAGCACTGCAGGTTTGCCAAAGACTCCTCACATGCTACGCTGAAGACTGTAAGTAAAGATAAATAACATTAGACATGTTGCACTCACTTCTTTGTGGCTTTGCTTTACTTTTAGTTACGTGCACAAATGTCACTGACTTGCTGGGAGGCAGGTGTAGGTGGTCTCCAGATATTTGTAGATGCCATAACAGGGATCAGAAGCACGGAAGGTGTTTGTGTTCGTTTCACACACGCTCTTGCCATTACATCTGCAGGAAGAAGAAAATTAGCTCGTTTCCAGCTTTACCTTACACAAGCCTCCCAAAATGTACTATGTGAATTTGCTGTAATTTAGGATGTGAGAAACAGGTTAACATTTAGAAGACAATGGTGACTGAGCGTAATAAGTTTTTTGCCACCATCTAAAACTCAGAGGTGAGCACCAAGTTGTTCTCCAGCAACCACAATGACAGCTTGTAGATGTGTCCACACAAGGGTTTTTTTGCATCAGCTGATGCCAATTATCTTAAAAAGCCTGATATATATTTTTCCTGACCCAAAGAACAGCTTTTGCTGATGTCAAAGACCGAACTGAAATTTCGACCTGATGGTGCTAGAAGAAGATCGGAAAACTAAATGTCACATTTCAATCCATCCAATAGTTGCTGAGATATTTTCATAAAAGCCAAAAATGTCAACCTCATGGAGTCTTTAGGATTCATCCTCTGGTGACCATGACCGTTTGTATAAAATCTGGTGCTAATCATCTAGAAGTTGAGTTATTTTATAACAGGAATGGAAACGTTGACCTGCTGGTTGTACTAGTTTCTAATTTTGAATTGTACCTTTTCCTCATAATGTCCAAGGTGCCCTGCAGAGAACACTGTGTGTTGGTAAGCTGTTGTGGAGGTCGGCCCTCACTGCAGGTTGTACTGTCTGCACGTCCATACAGAGCGGTCTGCACACTGATCGCTCCATTCTCTGTTACACAACACAGAGGGGAACAAGGACAGAGGGGGAAAAATTAGAGAGCAGAACTACAATAGAGAAAGACTTACAGGATGAGATGAAATTTTTTTATTTTTCTGTAGGCCTACTGTCAGATGAAAAATACTGAAACTGACAATGGCTGCGTTCCTATCCACAGTGTACATAAACAGTACTCCCTGCTCCGTGCTCAGGGAATGTCGGTTAAGGGAACTGCTGGATCCGTTCTGCACATGCTTAAAAGTGGTCCTGTCAAAGAAGGCAAATGTGCCTATTCAAAATGATCTAACTAAATCTTATAAATCAAGATACCAAAATGTTTTTTTAAATCACTGGAGATGAAACTGTTCACTACGACGAAATAGGAATATACTTAAAACCTTATTCAGCAGTACATTTTTAATTTCTGACAACAGTGATGACAACAATCTAATAATGTAGCAACACAAAGGAGGCTAAACCTAGCTGCTAGCACATCGGCTGTCAGCACATAGTTGGTCGACATGCATACAGTCGCTGACTTAGGTTTAGGCAGAGTTCAGCCATACCACAGCTCAGGCGTTGGACGTTGTAGGCATCATCACAGGTGATCACTCTCTCTGTGGCCTGTTCAGCTCTGGAAAATCCTAGAATGAAAAGTTTGTTTAATAATTCGTGCATATTGGAATAAACACATAGTTGTTGTGGAACAACAACCAAAAAGATCCAATTAAGTTTCCTATAAACATTTGTTTAGAAACAGTGTTGGTATGAATAAAATGGCAGAAAAAAGTTCCCGTCACACCAAAAGGCGGCACAATGAAAATCATCAGTGCATCTTCACAAAATGATGAGGCTCTAGAAGCTAGTGGATAAACTACAATAACTTACAAGCTAACCACTAAGCCACCCTGGAACACACAAGCAGCAGTCAGTCACGAAATCTTTATCTTTCCTCCAGGCATTTTGTTCTCAGGATGAACATTTGATCCAATAAAGAATTATCGAAGCATTTAAAGAGTTCTGAGCTTGCTGACAGCCGCTAGCTTGTTAGCTCTGTCTTATGAGTTTATTCAGAAGGTAACTCCTTGACTCCTGTCCTATAACGGTCTGTAAACTATGTCTTTGTTGTGGAACAGTTTATAGGGAGCAAGAAAATCCATTCTTCAAGCAGAGACTTTCTCAGCACAATGTTGTTTTTCTTTGTTTAGATAAGGACAGTAGTTTAAAAAAAAATGCTATATTGGTGTTTATTTATAAAATAGAGAAGATGAAGTTGTTGTCACGCCGTGTTGAATTTTGTTTACGCTTTTGTTTACATTTACCAACCTGCAAAAATCATGTCTTTGCCCACTAAAGTAGAAAAATCTGCTTTTTGTAACAAAGTCCAAGATTATAGCAAATATTTTTTTATTAATAATGTGACTGATCAAAGCCACTGTCTAGGACTAGAGGAGTAAAATAACAAATATTTTAAAAAGTTTTGCATTTTAATTGGTTTAATAATTGGGCCATAAAGAGGCTGCCAGCTTAACTTTGCGAGTGTGACTGTCCTCTTTGCCTTCTTGTGAATGAGCCGATGCAGCAAGTCACTGAAAAACTGTGAGCTTCTAGTGATTTCTAACTTTAGAACTCAAGCACAGTGTACGCACTCAGTCCAAAGACGAGGTAACTGACAATGTACGAGTATTTTAGTGGAGGTAGTGTGAGTCACGGTCAGGTGAGTTGATTAGTAAGTCAAATGCTCTAAAAGTTTTTCCAACAGCTGAGATTACAGTTAAAAAGATGGACTCTAGAAAAGAGCGTTGATAAGGACAAAACCAAATTGCAATGTTTTTGCTAAAGTAGTAATTAGTAATTACTAATTGTTGTTTAATGTTGTTGAAATAATAAAGGATTCAATTTCTAATATGCTAGAGTGGAGCTGATCCGTCCGATTATTTTTTCAGATAGAGTGATGAAAGAAATGCTTAATGAAAGATTGCATTGAGTTAGAGAAGCTAGTGGAGAGGCTAAACAGGAAGTGATGTCAGGCCTTCAGCTTTCTATAAGTTAACAGTTTATTGAAAACTACTGTATATATTTTTATATTTATGTATTTTGCCCCGGAGTGAATCCAGTGATTACAATGAGTCTATTGAAATTAATTTCAACATTTTAATGTTAACGGCCTTTAATAGCGTCGGGTTATGATGGCTGCACCGCCTGAATATGACTGGATGTTACTAGTCAGCTGACAGCCACATAGCTGGTGAAAGAGCAAATGAGCATGAATGAAACAGCTGCGAACAGCTAATGCAAGCATGATCAGTGCTGCTTCATCTATTTCAAGCCTCATTTGTAGCGTCTGGGAGGATATTTGCATCACTAACGTCAAGTGGTTTGTTTGATGGTATTTGTAAGGCTGTAATATCAGTCCTGTTGTACGTTTCTGTCCTTGGCAGAGGAGCAGGATGAGCATGTGATAGAGGCAGAAAGATGAAGGATTGGTGAAGAGAATAAAGAAGGCAGAAACGAGTGGACAAAGAGCAAAAAAGTCAGTGTGTGAGAATTAACAGTTAATTTGCTATTTGAGTACTAATCACACAACAATATGTATAGCTTCTGACTCATGTAAATTCAAACAAAATTTACCTGCTCTCATAAGCAAACACATTGCTGCCAGCACTGGAAGAGAAAAACATATTTATAAAGTGTATTAGTCTTGTAACTTCTGTGTAAATCCAGTTTTACAGTGTTCTGGGAGTTAATCATAAATCTGTCAATTGAACTTTAAGTAAACAATCAATACCTGTCTGTAGTAACATATTTCTAGACAATCTGACTTCAGTTTCTAAGTCACCATTAATAAAATGGTTTGTTTGATACTAAGGGCTTTAGTAATGGATAATAAATCATTTATCAGTTCTTTATAGATGCCTTATAAACCATTCACAAGATTAACAGTTGCTGTTTATCCTCCTCCAGTGTAACATTTGCTTTGTTTTATTAGCTGCATAGCATCTGGACCCAACTGATTTCATTAACAACCTATTATGTTAATGACTGAACAGCCAGAGTTTTTTTGTTTGTTTATTCGGTTATCATCATAAAACAATAATTGTACACCTATTAGTGTCAACGCAAACAGTACATAGTGACTGAAAAGTCTTAGGCTGACTTAAAGCTTATATATGCCAATCCTATGTTCATATCAATTAAATCTTGGTGAGCTGAAGTGTCTGCGCAGAGCTAGGGCTGCACAATTAATCGAATATTGATCGCAATTACGATTTTAGCTTCTCACAATTAAATGAATATGATCGCAGCTATATCGCCGTTTAAAATGCTGCTCTGCTCATGGAAAACTCTGCTGCACATCAAATCCTAAACTTATAGCCAAGCGGGCAATTTGGCTGCACGTGCACCCTCCTGCTGCTACAGTACAGAGTAGACAGCAAAGCCCACGAGTCCGCATTAGTCAGCTGCTCCTTGGGTCCATCAGATGTAGCGTGTGCCAGATGCAGCTCTCGGCTCAGCTCCACGAAGAATACACCAGTGTATTTTTGACGGAAACCACGTCGAGCTGCACAGAGCAAATCGAACTGGGCAGGAAGCCAGACACAGAAAGGCATAGAGAATCTGGTCAATTTTCAAAGTAAAACACCCTGTGCATACACCCGATCATAAATCAACAAAAAAAACAGTTAACCCCTTGATGCCTGAAGAAAAAAAATTACAAATAAATTAGATATGATGCAAATTAGCGACAACAGGCATAAACAAAAAAACAGTGCTTGCAAAAGGTTCCCAGGCTATGTATTGAATATGCGCAAACAGGCACTGGGGGAATACATATGCTTTCTCAGCTGCAGTCTGAAAGGAAGAGGTGTGATACGAATTTGCAACAATCACCGTTAAGGGGTTAAAACAGACCTAAAAGAAACATTTATCTACATCTCATCTAAAAGAAGCAGAAAAAGCAAGCGCTGATTACCAAATCAAAATGACGCGGGCAAAACGCTCTGATCCTGAAATGCTCCCTGTGACATATGCAGCCGTGCAGACAACTGAACAAAACCGAGGTTGCAGAGATGCCGTTGCTGGTTAGCAGAGTAGAAGCCATATGTAGAAGCACAAAAAGGACAAAATAACAACAAGCCAACAACGTGCTCAGCTCCTGAAATGCATCTGAGACGTTTTCCAGAGGACGTTAACGCTGTGCATAGGACGGGACAAAACCGTGTGGCAGCAGTAGCCGGATTCAGTGGACTTTCCAGGTAAAATGTTATTTATATTTTGCTGCTAGAAGATTATCATTTTGGCCATAATCGTGCAGCCCTGCGCAAAGCCCAATAGATACTAAAAGACAGAACCCACCAGCCACAGCCTGTTCATCCTGCTGCCGTCTGGCAAGAGATACAGAAGTATCTGCTGTCAGCCAGACTACAGAGCAGCTTCTTCTGTGAGTCTCCTAAATTCATCCTCGGCATGCACCATGCAAAACAGTTATTTTTTTGAGTGACTTGTTATTTATCCACTCATCTACAGTATGTAATATTTCTAGATAATGTTTCTTTTGTGAGTAGTGTAAAGGGAACCACAACTTAATAAATCTACCTTGTAGTATTTAGTTGTGTACTTACACAGTGTGGCGCAGAGTCTGGAGCAGAGCATGGTGTCAGAAGTTCTGGTCTGAGTTGAAGTGATTGCAGTGAAACACACACCTGCTATTTATTGTGTTGAGGGGAAAGACCTGCCTCTCTCTGTGCAAACAAGTCACTAATGAAAAATCCGGAATGAGTTCCTTGTCAGTTGCAGCAGACCGAAGGAGAAAACTTTAGATGGCTACAGATAATAAAATACCAAGACGTGAAACATGAATCATCTCAGAATAAATTACTTCTTACAACAATATGCCTGAGAACAAACAAGGGAGGAACTGAAATTTGATGGTTCAGTTCTCTGTTTTCTTTGGTTTAAGTGAAGCCTGTGGTGATTAATGTAAAACACGTGTACAGCATGTTAAACATCTTAGTTTAACATTTTAGCGCTGTTGTCTAAGACAAGGAAGTATGGAGAAAAAATATATTTATATCTAGTTCAGCTACATTGATAATGTTATAAAAGTGCAATGCTAAGTCTTTAAAATCTTTAAGTGCAGCTGAGGTGGATTGTCAGTTTGGGGGGGTATGTAGTCTCAAACCAAAGGACTGACAACGATCAGAGTTATTACAATTACAAACTGAGGTGACCATGAAAGTGTGGATCAAATTTCATGGCAACCCATCCACTACTTGTCAACACATTTCACTCTGAACCAAAATGTCTACCTCATGTGGCGCCAGAGGAAAAGTCAACCAATCACCTAAGTCGTTCAGGGTGATTTCACACCTGTAGTTCAGTTCATTTGGTCCGGAACAAGTGAAACAAATTATACACTGTTGCATTTTAGTTCCGGTCCGGTTCATGTTCACACTGCAGTTTTACAAACGAACCAAGAGAAGTAACCATGACGTTACACAGACTTACAGGTAACTTGTTGATTGGACAGCTCCTGCATCATCAGGACCCACGCAGGGAAATTCCAGAGACTTAAGTTTATGCAACACTTGAATGCTTCTGATCTGTATCGCAAAGAGCTCACAAAGAAATAACTTATTATAAGCATGATTAGTTATTTTAGACCGCAGATCAACCACATAGACCGTTATGAATAATGACATAAAAACAGGACATGTACATTAAATAGTCGGGCCTTATAACCTACTTGTTATGGGATTGTGTGGTGTGGACAGAGAGGACCCAAATGCAGCACTCTGAGGGAAGGAGGTTTATTGAGGGAAGAAGGGTGAGAGGGACTGGAGTGGAGGGAGAGGAGGACGTCGGGGAAGCAAGGAGACAGGGAGCCGGGGAACACAGGGGCCGAGGAAGCGAGGAGAGGCAGGGGAACAGGGAGGACGCCGTGAGAGAAGTCCGAGGAGGAGTGTGCGGGTGGATGAGCCCAGCCGAACAGAGGACGAGGGTGAGTGTACCGGGTATGGAGCAACAATGGTGTGGAGAACTGGGGTTGAAATACAGGCAGGGATGAGGTTGATTACTGGCAGGTGTGGCAGGCTGACGAGGTGGCTGATGAAATGCAGGTGCAGGTAGTTGGCTGGGCTCAGAAGCAGAGGGAGAGAGAGCACACAGGGGAGAAAACACAGGGAGGCAGGCAGAGAACAGAAAACCAAGGAAAAAGCAGAAAAACTGATAAAAAGGAGAAAAAAACAGGACACTCACCGTCAGCCGGGCTGCCACCACAACGCTACTGTGGTATCACAGATGTTGTATGGACTAAATAAACTGAAAGGTAAACAGAGTCCTACTTGCCCTCCTTGGTTAACAGCTTTTGACCTATTAATCAGGGAAAATACCTGTGCTGACAAGTATATGTTACATACCAATATACCAAAATACTACATACATACAACACCCAGCCAGAGAGAAGGAACAGAAACACCTGAAGGGGGCACTTACAGCCTGTGGATACCCTAAATGGACCTTTGTGAAAACAGCCACAAATGTAACAACATTGTGATTCCATACGTGTCTGGAGTATCAGAGAAACTCAGGAGGATTTTAAACAAACATAACATCCCTGTGTTTCTTAAACCCAAGAACACACTAAGACAGATGCTGGTACACCCCAAAGACCGCACACCCAAACACAAGAAAAGCAATCTAGTGTATGCGGTCCAATGCAGTGAGGAATGCACAGACCTATATTGGGGAGACTAAACAACCACTACACAAACGCATGGCTCAACACAGAAGGGCCAACTCCTCAGGTCAAGACTCTGCTGTCTACTTACATCTGAAGGACAGAGGACACTCGTTTGAGGACCACCAGGTGCACATTTTAGACAGAGAAGATGGATGGTTTGAAAGAGGTGTCAGGGAAGCATCTACACCAGGGTTGAGAAGCCGTCATTGAACAAGGGAGGGGGTCTACGCCACCACTTACAATGCGGCCCTTTCATCACTTCCCAGGAATCTCAACAAACGTAACCTATTGGCCTCAGGTGAAGATACCAACGATGGTCGTTCAGTCTTGGCCACCGGTAGTCCTCACGACTGTAACGACGTTACGCCAGCCAGGAACACTAACAAACCAGCAGTATCGACAATCCTGGCAAACGACCCCACTGAGGTTAAATAGTTTTGATGCCAGGCAGTCAGAACTGAAGAAGTCCTTTGCATGAGGAACGAAACGTCTTCCAGTATCTTCAACCAAGTCCAGTTGCCCTTGACTTTAACCTTCATTGGATAACTATGACCTGGATGACTGAGAATCTTCACAGACAAGTATACGTTACCAAATGATTTTCATAAACATAGTCTAAACATGACTCATACAGATCAATAAGATCGGTGAACACATTTTGCGGTATGCAGATGTATTTATTAGTGGCTTAGCTTTGGGAATAATGCTCAGATCACATGTCTGCTATCATAAAATCAAGTAGTTGGTTCGTTTGCTTTCACATCACAAGTAAACCGCACTGGAGTTTGAAAGCTTACCAAGACCTCCTTGAAGAGGTGATCTTATTCTGTTGTTTGGTCCGCTTTAGGTACGCACCCGCGATTGCTGCATTCACACATGCCCAAACGAACTGCTCCAAGGGGTTATACGAAATCTAGTGCGATTCAACTGAACTAAATGAGGCAGGTGTGAAAGCGCCCTAAGATTCATCCCCTAAGGATCGTGAATATCTGTGCAAAATTTCTTTGTTGTTGAGATATGTTTCATATAAGCGTAATGCACTCGTGAGAAAAGAAAAAGTTTGTTCTTGAGATTATTATCTCAGAATTCAAAATTCTGCGAGAAGCTGTCATTTTCTTGAGAGCCTAACTTCATGGAAATAAACATGTCCCGCCTGTTCTGTTTAGTCCAGTTTTAGTTTGGACAATGTTAATTCAGAAAAACATCTTTAACCTTTGAAAGTTTTGGCTAAAAGAGGCAGAGTCAAACAGCTATCTGTCCACCACAAACCTACTGAAAAAAACATCAACTCACTCGGTGTGGATAGTGCTATTCTTATCAGTATTTCCCATAAATGTTCTCTTCAACATCGGGCCTGCTAAAGGCTCAGAAAAGCTGAAGACCTTATCAGTAGAGGATGAATTTCGCTATGCGACAAATAAAGTACCTTTTACGTGAAATATTCCAAGCCTTTTTTTTTTGTTTTAATTTTGATCTTTATGGCTTAAAGCTCATGGAAATCAAAACTCCAGTCTCGCAAAATGTATGAATAAAGATTTTTAACACAGAAATGTCGACCTGAGAAGAGCTCTAATCAGCTAATTATCTCAAAACACCTGCAAAGGTTTCCTGAGCCTTTAATCTCTCAGTCTGGTTCTGGTGCTCACAGTGAACATTTCCACGATATTCAGTTTTTTCGATGCACCTGTCCTGTACTTATTTCAACACAAAACATGATGTGCGACGCCCTGACTAGAGAGTGATTTATAAATGTGAAATCTTTTTTCCTGCAAGAAATGTATCACAAAGGCAGACTAAGTTAATCCTGATGAGAAATTCAACTCTTTTAGTCTTCATTCCAGTACTCTGTACCTGTCAGGAACTATACTTAATACCTAAACATTTTGTTAAGAATGTGGTTTTTGTGTTCATGTCTTTCATGTTTAAGTCTGTTTTTGGTTCTGTGTTTCTCTGTGTAGTCTTGATCAGTTAGTTCCTAGTCCTGTACATTAGTTAATATATTTTGTGTTTACTCCTGGTCTTGTGTTCCCTGTTCAGTCTTGTGTATTCCCTTGTTCATTTACTGGTTCTGTTTAGCTCTGCATCTCAGCCCTGTGTCGTACTTGTGCATTCTTGGTTATTCACTCTGCTCCATGTCTGCTTGTCTAAGTGTTGTCTCTGTTACCCCTTGTTGTCTCTGCTTGCCTGCCTCTCTGTTTTCCTGCTGTCTCTCTACCTCCCTCGTTAGCATCATGTCTGTCACCTGTGTTGCTCCCGCCCTGCTCGTTATCCCTGGTATATATGTGTGGTCTTTCTGTTCAGCCTTTGTCTGGTCATTGTTTGAGTTACCCCCTGACATCTTGTTTCCTCTGGAGTTTGGATTTCTGTTGGGATTATCTTGTCTTTTTGGACTCTGCTACCAGCCACTTTGTCAGTAAGTGTGCTCGCCTTTTGTTTGTTTTCCCTCAATAAACTCCCGTTGAACTGTACCTCCTCTGCCTTGCGTCCTGCTTTTGGGTCCTCCAACCTGCCTTACCACCACTTACCATAACACATTTAGAATGTGATATCCTTCTTCCTTGTAAACTTACAAACTTATCAGTTTACAACATAATGTTGTATAATGAGATTAATTTGTAGTTGTAGTAGTGGGCCGGTCATCAGTGAATGTGTCATGGTGTAAGGAGTCTTTCATTGAACTCTATGTTAAAACCAAGTACATGATTATTGATTTTAGGAAGTCTTGTTTACATTAGGTGTGGGGTGGGTGGTGCTGGTGTATCGTGAGTCCCTGGTTCAAAAAATACACAAGCAGCAATCCCAGGAAAGTGTTGTTTTTTTTTTTTGTGATGAGTGATCAGTGTTTTAAAAGCTGTTTTCAATGTGTCAGATTTTCAAAACATCTGTTTCAGTATTTTAGAAAGGATTGATAAAAAAATTTTATTCCATGGCCGAGTGTCCGGATACAAGGGTCTTCACTTTCATATATGTATATAATAGTAATAGTTTGAACTCTGTTACTTGAACTTTTTTCACAGTGCTCCAAAAATGTTTTGTGTGCTCCTAATTGTTTTCATTTAGGAGCACATGTGCTAGTCTGGCACCTCCCCAGAGACCACTTTCCCATGGGAGACCCTACCAGGAGCACCAGGATCCAGACAACACTGCTTCATAGGGACTCACAAACCTCTCCAACATGATATGGTGATAGTCCCCAGAGAGGAGGGGTGTTAATCCCTTTCTTTTTAATTACGTCTTTGACCAGTGATGGAACAGTGGATAAGACTGTTGGTTCCGATCATATCTCACTGATAGAGAATTCTTTGTGTATTGATGAATCTCGATCAGAAGACATAAAATGAATTGTGGTGTCTCAAAGGGCTCAATCTGAGGCCTAACCCTTCTTAATTTGTACATGCTGCCGCTTGGAGACGTCGTCAGGAGCCACGGCATCAATTTTCAGTTATGCTGATGACACCCAGCTAAACATTGCCGTGTCCCCTGATGACCCAGGACCAGTAGACGCTCTTTTTTTTTTTTTTCTTTTTCTAAACATAGTCATGGATGGCAGAACATTTTCTGCAGCTCAGTTGGGGCAAAAAAGAAGTATTGGTCATTGGTTCGAATCTCAGACGGAGAAACTTAAAATGAAATTGCGAATGCTGGCACTAAGTCCCTGTGAGAAGGTGAAAAACCTGGGAGTTATCTTTGAGTCAAATATTGGAACTATTTCTATGACCGCTTTTTATCATCTCAAGAACATTGCTAGAGTACGACCCTTTCTCTCTCAAGCAAACACTTATCCATGCTTTTATTACTTCCAGGATTGATTACTGTAATTCTCTGCTTTCTGGGCTTCCGAAAAACAAAATCTCTAAACTGCAGCTGGTTCAAAACGCTGCTGCACGTCTTTTGACTAAGACCAAAACGAGAACACACATTACCCCTATCTTAAAGTCTCTGCATTGGCTTCCAGTTAATTTTAGAATTGCTTTTAAAATCCTTTTACTACTTTATAAGTTATTTAATGGTATTGGTCCAGAATACTTAGCAGATTTGCTTTTACCTTATGAACCTAGTAGAACCCTCAGGTCCTTTGGTAGTGGCTTTCTAATTATTCCTAAAGCCTCAACTAAAACCTACGGTGAGGTATCCTTTCAATGTTATGGCCAGCGTTTGTGGAACTCCCTTCCTGTTGAGCTGAGAGCAGCAGGAAATCTGGACATGTTTAAAGGCAAACTAAAGACATACCTATTTAACCAAGCTTTTAACTGAGCTGTATTTTGGGTGGGGCAGGGATTGATTGTTGGGCTTGACCTGCTTTTATTTAATTTTTCAGTATTTTAACTATTTTAAATGATTCTATAGTGTGAAGCACTTTGTTACATGTATTTATATGAAAAGTGCTATATAAATATTGATTGAAGACACATGCCTTGGTGTGGGAGATCCAGGTTCAGTTCCCATTGCGACATCAACTAATGTGTCCCTGAGCAAGACGCTTAACTCCTAATTGCTCCAGAGGCATGTGACCTGACATGTGTATATAGCAAATGTAAGTCATTTGGATTAAAGCGTCAGCTAAATGGGTTAATGTAATCGTGTTTTTGTAAAACAAAACGTGAATTTTACAACATCAGTCATGTCTGAAGTAGTGAGGAAGAGCATCTTTTGGACAGTTTTACACATGGACAGATAACTGTACATATGTTTAAACAAGAACACTTAAATACATTGTAAAAATGACTATAATACAAATAAGGCTCCCCAAATCCCCAGAACTATTAGCTATGGGACTCAACTATAGTTTCTATAGATTGGAGTTTAATATTTTAATGTAAGAAACAGAACAAAAGGCGAGGCAAGGTGAGTTTATTTGTGTATCATAATGAGGTGAAAATTGATTCATTACAGTAGAATAAAATTAAAACAGACTAAACAGAAAATAAAAAAATATTAATCAAAGTCTTATTGAAAAATAAAAAATAGAATTAAAATTTTTTTTTGGTCGAGGAACTGTATTTAACTCTATGGCCAAAAGTATGTGTACACCTGCGTTCATAATGCCAGCCAGGTATGAGATGGTCAGCAATTGCATGAGTGTAAGTTTCAGATGTCCAAATCCTTTTGGCCATATGGTGATTTGGAATTCCGACAGTTTCATTGTTTTTTTGTTTTTTTTGATTACTTCTCTCATCACAAACTGAAAACATTCTGTTGAGTCAGTACGCTTTTACGCCGTACATTGTGCTATTTTGTTTAATTCCCAGGATCTGCAATGAAACAGATGAAACATTGACTTTAGACGCATGAAATAAATTATGAATGACATTTTATAAACCAACATTTTACACAGTGAGCATCAGTTTATTCTTGAATGTGGAAATAGCAGTTTGACAAACATAATCTTAATGTAAGGTCCACTTCCTAGATTTTTCCAGAGTTTTTAAACACTAGGATAATGGTCAGCAAGTACAGCTGTTGTCCAACCATAGCTTAGCAACCATAACTCCACAGCAGAATGGTCAAGCTTTACATTTCTCTGGTGTTTATCTGCTGTAATGTAAGCTGCAAATGTTAGCATGTCCAGCTAACTAGCTTACTACCTGTTGCAGTAACCTTACCTTAGTATTACTTCGAACGCCAAGCAGCATATCATTGGCTTACTTTTATTTGAAGGGTTACAGGGTTAGGCAGAGCTGCTAACTCTTACACATTGCAACTCATGCAAGTAGCCATGTTTTCATCTACTTGTCAAGCAAATTTAAAACTGACTTTTGAAATGTCTCAATAGAAGAGAAAAAAAAAAGTGAAATAGGTGTGTTTCTATCTGCTGGTTTAGAGCGAATAAACAAGGTTTTGGCAAGCGTAGTTACGTCAGTGGTTGACGTTACACATGGCTGTAATAAACAAGATGCAGAAGTTGCAAAACAGAATCAGTCTCATGGACTTGAGAACCATGGATCTGAGATAAATGGAGAGAGGTCCTCAGGAATATGTTTCAAGCAAGCAAGTTGCTCATAGCCATCTCTCTGCGCATTTTAAGAATATTCGGGAAAGACGCCAACAGCAGAAACAGTGGATCAGTCGTGAGTTACATGGTCAAAACTTATTCGGCAAAAGTGGTTCCATCTACCATTTAGCTCATTAAGTCTTTTTCAAAAAAGGCAAAAACCACCTCAAGCATAGATAGGGTAAAAACTTTTTTGCGAAATTAAGGAAGTTCAAATCTTACCATATCCATCAACCTTTTCTAATGCAATACTTCAAAATGGGTATGAAAAAACGATGGAAACATGGCTAGTTACACTTTTCACATTCTTTCATGCCACACACCAATTTTCTCTCTGCCCAGCTGATGTGACAACAGCACACACCTTGATAGTAATAAAGTGGACCCACTCTCAAGGAAAGGGAAATAATTAGTGAAGAAAGCCGAAGCGTTACATCTGGACTACCCTGCTTAGCCTGCTACCACTGCATAAGAAAGAAAATGGATGGATACTGGATAGGTCCTGATTTTATGTTTTAACAGTAGTCTGTTACTTACATTGACATGTGTAAGCCACCTCCAGGTACTTATAAGTGCCGACACAGGGGTCTCCAAACACTAAGTTGCTCGCTCTGATAGCACAGCTGTTTTCCCCGTTACAGCTGTGGATGCAGAGTGATGTGAGTGAATACAGGTTTGAATGTGCACAGAAAAAGAGGAAATATGGGTGTCATGTGAGGAAGATTAACATTTATAGTATTTTCCCTATTGTTGTGCAAAAAGAGTGGGTAGCTGTACCGTTCAGCAACTCTGCTTGTAGGGCGCGAGCACTCGACATTTTGGATCTGAGAGGCAGGTCGCTGGTAAGAGCATGTGGTGGGGTCACGGCGTCCGTAATCAGCACCATAGACTAATATAACCTGCCCTTCATCTGACAAAAAAGGGAGGGAAAGTATTCAGATGTGTGTTGAAATGCAAAGACAATATAACTATGACATTAAAGCAGGAGTCGGTAACAACTGAATCTAATTTAAAATATAATGCAAAGCTTCTTTCTCCACTGCTCATATCACTTCACCAAGCCCCTCCCACTAAACCCATAAGAAGGAGCTGGTTGCCCTGCAAAACCTCATCCCACATGGGGCTCGTCAAAATCCCAGTCGCTTCGACTCATCTTCTCACAGACAAAACTCCAAGACTTTGCAGCCCAGGGCAGAGCGGTCAGGTAAAGGAAACCTGGGGAGTCAGTTTGAATGGGCCTGATGCAGCTGATAACATTAATATCTAGAAAGCATTGTTATCTATAATTTATAGGGGCTTTGCTTAAGTTTGTAATAGAGTATATGCCTCAGCCAGTACTAGCACAAACCCAGTCCAGACGTCAACCAGTACGAGCACAGCTAGAGATGTACAGGCATCATCAAATACAAGCATCTCAGAGGACAGAGTTAGAGCAAAGAGGTCCATTCAAACTAGCAATAAATTGGGAAGAGGTTTCCACTCAGGGTTATTACAGACTGGAGGGAGAATTGTATTGAGAGCACTGCGGTGTCAGGTGTGATTATGCAGCAATGGTAAATTCTTTACATGACTCACGAGTCAGGTAGGCTCCCATAGCTGAATTTTGTTTAGGGACGCAGGGAGGTCAAGACCAGCTCTGGTGGTTGATGTTGTGAAATGGCACAATTTGGTTAGATTTAGGTACCAGAAATACTTGGAAGTTTAGAAAAACATCATGGTCACTTAAAGATTCAGTGTGTAATATTTCTGAGGATCTATCGACAGAAATGCAATATATGTTTTTATTACCTTAGAATGAGACATTTATATCTACATAACCGCGGGGCCCGCCTTCCATGGACGTCGCAATGTTGCCTCATGTTTCTAAAGTAGCTGAAAACGAACAAACAGTGCTACAGAGCACATTTCGTCACTAAGTTCTTGTTCTACTTCTGGTAGAATTCAGGCAGTGCAGACACTCATCACTATGTTGAATATGTACGTTAGAAGAAGAAGTAATAATAATATACTGCAGGGATCTGCAAATAAGTTTTTCATCAGAGCAATATTTTTATTGCATTAACATGTTGTTCAGTTAGCTCAGTTGGTAAGGCGCAGGACTCACCTTGAGACAACTTTTTTTCCCCTCTCTCTTCAGCAAATGGATTCTGCAGCGAATGTTTCTCACATCACGGCATGTGCTGCACTGTTTTTGTTTCAGTGTTTGATCCACATCCATCAACCTACAGATGCTTTTGCAATTTCCTTTATCTCCAGGCAGAGGACATTTAGGGGAATCATGTTTTCTGACGGCTCTTTCGGTGTGTCAAGCAGCTACAGACTCTTTTAATGTCGTTCAGAATTTTTCAAAGAAAAAGCTCAGTTCAACTCCAAATACTGCATTACAGTAACCAAGCTTCTCACACTTTTATTTTGTAGACAAAACCACCAAAGAGGAAGTGATAATGTGAGTAACTGTTGCTGCCATGACTATCAAAGCACCACTATCAAAGTATTTATTTATTGATATTTTTTGCCGCTATCAAAGCACTGTAATCTGGCAGCGGGCCAAATGTTATTGTTGGCGGGCCGTTTTGGAGAGGGTCTGTCAGTGGCCTAGTCACAGTAACACATGGTTTTACTGAATAATTAAGTAAATATAATTTCTTAATAAATATACATAAATAAACCTAAGTTCTTGACTGGCTACTCTCTGCTGTCTCAGAAGAGACACCTTTTGTGCTGTTGTCCTGGAGGGATAAAATAAATTAGCCTGCTGCATCACTTATTTGCACACCCCCCCCCCCCCCCCCCCGCCCGTATATTAGTACTTTTTCTTCTTTGAATGTACGGGCATATTCAGCGTAGTGATGAGTGTCCCATGCCGAAATTGTACTAGCAAGAAAAAGAACATGTAAGAGGGACCCGCAGTGTATGCAGATAGAAATTGCTCTTTTTAAGGTAATAAAAACATAACTGTTCATTATGTAAGGTCTTTATCCACCACTGAAAACATAGTTATCTTTATTACATTTATGTCAATAGATCCTGCGAGAAATATTACACACTGGACCTTTAACTTGTTGTTATGACATGCTAATGACTTTCACCAAAAACATTGTTTTTTTAATTGGGATTTTTAGCTACTGCCTTTCTGTTTTCCGAGCATGGTAATGTAGATAAATGTGTGCATGCTTCAGTGAAAGACATGGCAGTGCCAATAATACACCGTTGGCTTTCAAAAAATTGTATTGCCGTCTAGCAACACCCCTGGATGGGCAGTTCTTCTTTCGCAGACGTAGTGTTTGCAAACGTCTATAGCCGCTTTGAAAATATTGAGCTTGACTGAGCATGTGTGAAGAGGGGAACTGCGCAGCGTGTGCATGAGCAGTCATTGACACTGTGTTAAAGACTCCTGGCTCTAATTTGTTGTTTTGACTCTGCAGATTCTTGCAAATGGCATTAGGAGGCAGAGGAACCAGATTTCATTTACAGATTACTTGTCTCATGTACTCCTATCATGATATAGTGACATTTTCATTAAGTAGTATGCCAAAAAGTTAATTTGATAAAACCTTCTGAACCTTTAATCCACCATAAATACAAAGGAGAAAGTGTGATCTTACCACACTGCAGGTTTGCAAAAGACTCTTCACATGCTACGCTGTAGACTGTCAAAGTAAAGATAAATCACATTAGACATATAACATTGTTTCACTTTTAGTTATGTTCACATTTGTCACTCACTTGCTGGTAAGCAGGTGTAGGTGGTCTCCAGGTATTTGTAGATACCGACGCAGGGATCAGAAACACGGAAGGTGTTTGTGTTTAATTCACACACCCTCTTTCCATCACATCTGTAGGAACAAGACATAGAGCTTCCATGTTTAGTGAATCAAACATATCCCTTAAAGGTACTATTAGAAGCATTTTACACATATTAAATTGCTTTGTATTGCCAATGTGCTAATTGATTGTAACATAACTTCAAAAATGAGACCATGACACCTACAGTAGCTTGGTAAATAGCGACATGGTACTGTATTTGATTTGATTTTTGTTTAGATCATAAATAAGACAAGAATTAGGTTGGAAATGACTGATTTTTGTTAAACTGGATCATATTTTATGGAGAAAATATTTCCTGCATCTTTGATGACCGCCGGCTGGGAGATCTGGGGACAGGGGGAGTAGTGATGTATGCACATCTGGCACAGCTGGGAGGAGGAGTTTGGAGAAGTGCTGGGATGGGCACCAGAACTGGACGAGTGGAAAACGGAACACAGCTCAGCAGCCTCCAAGTGAACATGGCCGGACCAGGACAAAACACACCCAGAGACTGATGAAGGCCAGTTTGATGACAGGGAATACAGGGAATAAAGAAAATACAGTACTGAGGATACTGAGGTTTTCACAGAGGCTGTGTTCGGTCCTGGTCCAGCCATGTTCACCATTTTGGACGATGCCGAAGATGCTTGTGCCTACGGAGCGTGAGTGTGGCTGTAGAATCTGTACAGCATAGGACACCCTCTATCCTTAGATCCTCTGATACTCTAAGTGAATGAAATAAACTTATTGTGGTGGGAACGGGGGCCAAATAGAGGCCAAAATCTAGAAGATGTTAAAGGTTTCATGGCATGAATGAAAATGTTGACCTGCTAGTGACGCAAGATTCTAATCTTGAACATTATTGAGTGTATACCTTCTCCTGATGACGTCCACAGTGCCCCGCAGAGAGCACCGTGTATTGGCAAGCTGTTGTAGAGGTCGGCCCTCACTGCAGGTTGTACTGTCTGCACGTCCATACAGAGATGTCTGCACACGGATCGCTCCATTTTCTGTTACACAACACAGAGGGAAACAAGGAGAGAGGGGGGGGGATTGTGTGAGCAAAAATGTAATGGAGGAAAATTTACGGACCTCTTCCAGCGTGATTCGCCTCAACTCTACTCGCCTTTTTGGGTTTTCACTGGGGAAAAGTTGTACCTGGTAACAGCTACCTGGAAATAGTTTTTTCGTATAATCTCTTGGAGTTGAGGAGCTCAACAAGTGCCGATGGGGGGAAGCTAATGAGCCAGCCTTGTCCTACAGTCACACAGACCACTGCAGCCAATGCAGCAGACTACTCCAGCAACAGTGGCAGAGAAAAACACAGCTATAAGATTTTCGTACCGCTGTTCTATCTTTGCATGTTTTAACTTAAATCAAGAGGAATCTGGTGTGTGTGGATCCAGGGTGTGTCGCGTTGAACATTACGTCTCTGCAGTTTCATGCGGCGTCTCATGACAAGTAGCTGAATTGTAGGGGGTACTTACTGCAATGGAAAAACGGAGGACGGTGGGCCAAAAGCGAGTTGAGGTGAGGCCAGTTGAGCTGTTACCAGCAATGGAAAAGCACCGTTACAGGATGAGGAGACATTTTTAATTTGTCTCTAGTGTTAACAAATCCCACAGAAAAGCCTGACACTGACAATATGTTAGTCTCTCAATATTTTCCAACTTCCAAAGCTTCTCTGTAGCTCTCAGATCTGTTCCTACTGAACATGTAAATCTTTAAAAATACAAGTACTTTCATAAAAAAAAAGACTGAAACAACTGGGCACTGTAGTTTTTAACAGACTACTAAATTATTTTATTGTTGCCTAAAAAAAACCCAACATGTGTACTTGTCGTTGTTTGAGTTCAGTCATACCACAGCTCAGGCGTTGGACGTTGAAGGCGTCATCGCAGGTGATCACCCTCTCTGTGGACGAGGGAGTAGTCTGTTGGGCTCTTGAAAAGTCTGGAATTAAATGTTTGTTTTATAGTTAGAGCATATTTGAATAAATACATAGTTGTTGTGGAATAACAACCAAAAAGACCAAGTTATGGTTCTTATAAACATCCACTTAAAACAGTGACACAGTGTGGGCCTGTACAACATATTAGAGAAAAGGTCCAGTCACACCTGAACGTTTGAACAAATAAATCCATCAGTGCATCTTCAAAAATGATGTGGCTCATACTATAGCTGAATGTTTTTAAAGTATTGCATTTTGTTTAGTTTAATAATTCGGCCACAGTTTGCCCACTTGATCAACTACTGCAAAACTTTTCATGAGCTTCTAATGATTTATACCTTTTAAGTGTCAGATACGTGGACATTGTCAGTTACGTCTTTTTTGGGCTTTTCTGAGTGGAAGTAGTGTGTCTGGGTCTGTAAGTTTTGTCTGTAAACAAGTCTTAGTTTATGGTTATTAGTTTGTCCAAAAACTGTTTCTTGGAAGTGACGGTAAGATCCTCTTCTTCTTCTCTTCCCATCTCCATCAGATTCTACTGATTTAAACAACTTGGAGAATTTTATGGATATGGACAAACCCAAATTATTCTTTTTTTGTCATTAATTATCATGCCATCATAGAACAAACTACACACAGTTCTGGCTGAACCGTCACTGACACCAATGTTAAAGTCAGGGCTGCTCCTTCCATGCTTGTTTGTGTACCGCTCTTCTTCTTTTATAAGGTTTGCCAGAATTATTCCTGCTTCCAGGCTTCCCCTGGTAACCCCTGCGTTTCACGCTATAAACCAGAGGTATTCAATTAAAATTCAACAAGATCCAGTTCCCCAAGCAAAGGTCCGGAAGATCATAATGACTAACTTACGTTATCATTCAGTGCCATAACCTATAGTTGTATCTACATGTTTTTACAACTGACTGTCAAATCAAATTATATTTCAAATAATTTATTTTACTACTTTTTATATCAAACTAAAGGGATTATAAATAATAACTTTTCTAATAATAAATTCTAAATTTAAATAAACTAAAGGCTAAAAGCAAATTTAAAAAATCTCTTATCTTGAAATAAAGTGCTTATAGTGCTTACATCCTAAGAAATGAACACCTTTCCCTCTGTCCAGATTTGAGTGGGTACGTTTGCTCAGAACATTTAAGCTTTATCTCGTAGTGGTGCTTCATATTGCCACGTTTAATAATCGCGACAGTCTCAGATCATATGAGATTCTGGTTTTGAACTGCTCAAGTGAAGAATGTACATGTAAGAATCTGGCCATTCTTGATAAAAAGCCATGTGACATCTCTTTTTTTTTTCTTTCTTTCTTTCTTTCTTGATCTCTCTCGATTGGCTGAGTAGCATTCACATGAGATGATGAAACATGTGCAAGTGGTCTGTGAGTTTCCAGGGCCGCTAAACCAGTACAGTAAATGCTAGAAAAGGGTTAAAATAGAAACGCTCTGTCACGAGGTTGTGGTTCTCGTTAATAAATCGGCTATAGGTTCAGGTCTGGAGAGGATGGCGGCTGGGCCCAGGTCAATTAGTGACCTTGGCAATAACCTGCTGGCAATTCCCTCAGGCAAAGTCTGCACCAATGCAGAATTACGAAAGGTGTCTAATAAAGGGCTCAAAAAGTCTGCGAGAGAGCCCTCTCCCACATGCAAATTAAAGGTCAATTAAGTTGATCTCACTGTGAAAAATGCGTGCAGATTTCTTTATTATTTTTGTTATTTATTGAATCCATTGATCGCAATAATTCCATTGAAATTTATTAATTTGAACGTTTTAATGCTGATGTGACTGGTCATAAAAAGCCAAAATTCAAACATCCATTTACCTGCTCTCAAAAGCAAACACGTCGCTGCCAGCACTGAAAAAGAAAAACACATTTTTAAAGTTTATTAGTCTTGTAACTTAAGGTGTTATCAGTAACTCCCAGAACACTGTTGTAACACTGTTAAATAGCTGCAATCTTTCACAGGTCAATATTTTGTTTTATAATTAACAGTACAACAGTAATTTGAACTTAAAGCTTTGAATTAATACTTGTCTGCAGTAACATATGTAGACCATTCACTTTCTAAGTCACTCTTTATAAAGGGTTTGAGGGGTGTAACTTAGGGCTTATAACTTGATGATATAGTAACGACACTTTATGAATGACTTATTAATAACCTGAATGTCAATGACTCAACAGCCAGAGTTACCCCCCAAAACCTGGCAACCCAAAATGTCTCATAAATTTTTATATCTCTAAACATCAGTAAATGCTTTATTAACCATTAATAAAGCATTTCCTTATGACTTATAAAGGCCAACTTATTTAAAAGTGATAAGTTCTAAACATTTAATGGTGCTTAAGTTCATTCAAAATGTTATTCAGGATGTAAATTTTAAGTCTGTTCTATAAAAGTAGAATTAAAAGTTAGGAAAAGTATAAAAAAACTTAAAATGCAGAAATTAGTTTGAGCGGATGCTGGTAATTTTACCCTTTTCATCATTTTTTATTATCTTTAATTCTAATATTAAAGCCTGACAATATTTAGCATGCTTTCCCCCATTCACTCAATTTATATATAGTTTTCATCAATAATTCAATAGTCAAATAATGGTACAATAATTTGACTCCGTCCCAGGCCACCCTGTTCACGCAAACCACCATATTGCTAATTTTGTGGACTAACTCTATTTGCTGATGTAACAGGTACCAAACTAGGTATAGTCTTTGACACTATGTTCATCTACTGACTTTTGGGACTGATAATTAAAATAGCCTATGTGAAAACAGAGATTTCAAGGTATTGTAAAGCTGTGGGTGCACCCTCAAAAACTCCAGAGTAATAGCCTAGGCTAGCTACACTCACCACAGCACATACAAATGTACAAAACTCGACACAAAAAATAAGCCTAGGCTACACTTTTAAAGAACAGAGTAAGATATAAAGAGTTTGCTCAAATGTTGAAAGTTTATCTTTATATACAAGCATCAATCATATCAATCATACCATGTTCACTGAACTTGAACATAACCCTTAAACAATGACAGTAAGTCAATGCATTTAAGACTTTTACATTAAAGGTCTAGGCTGCTTGTTTGCCTGTTTGTTCACATGAGGGTGCAGTGAGACCCCACGGATCCAAAAGAGCTCTTAACACACAGAGATAACGCTAGATTGAAATCTCTCAAGTCTCCCGATGGCCAGTCCTCTAGTGGCTCGGAATATTTTTGGTACCTATCTAGCAAGCATCAGTGATATCGGTGAGATAACTGCAGAGCCCAAAGGATACTAAAAGACAGAACCCAGCCTGCCACAGCCTGTTCCCCCTGCTGCCATTTGGCACAAGATACAGAAGTATCTGCTCTCCACCAGACTACAGAGCAGCTTCTTCCCCCAGGCTGCCAGACTTCTAAATTAATCGTAGCAATGCAGCATGCAAAATAGTTATTTTTTGTGACTTGTTATTTATCCACTGTGTGTGTATATGTGTCATATATATATATACAAATCTTTTGCGAGTAGAATAAATGGAAATACAACTTAATGTCGTTATACAACTCTGTGTTGTAAAATGATAAATAAATCTACCTACTACCTTGTAGTTTGTTGTGTACTTACACAGTGTGGTGCTGAGTCTGGAGTGGAGCATGGTGTCCGAAGATCTGGTTTGAGATGAAGAGCTGAAGTGCTGGTGGTGAAACTCCTGGTTTTTATTGTGTGAGGGGGTGAGAACTTGCCCAGGTTATACAAACAAGTCACCAATGGAAAAGCCTGAATGAGTTCCTTGTTAGCTACAACAGATGGAAGGTTACAGATTACAATGAAGTGAAACTTGAATCATCTTGGAACAAAAGTCTTCTTTCTATAGTATTTGTTATCATTTAGAAAACAAGGTCCCTGTGAACAAGCAGCAAATAACTGCGATATCATGGCTCAATTTTCTGTTTGCTTCCATTATGTGAAGCCTCTACTGTTACAATTGATGCAATAGGAAAAGTCAAGGGATCACCAAAGTGGCTTAGATTCATCCTCTAAGGAGCATAACTGTGTGTATATTGTTGTTGAGATATGTTTTATACGTAAGCGTAATGTTTTCACTTGAGAACATTTTTAAATTTTTCCAGTTTTAATTTGGACACCGAGAGATGCTCATGTCTACGGTAATGAAATCATATAGCACTGTTGGAGGTTCAGGCTGATTAGCAGCAGCAAGACTCCAGACTCCATGCATGTAAGAGCTTCTCGCAGGATTTTGAGCTATCTTGTTAATTGAGATATTAATTTTCCCCCACAAAAACCTTTGTCTGAATTCTTGTTAATTCAGAAAAACAGGGCAAACACCTCTAATCGACTGGAAGTTGACGTTAGGCTAAAAGAGGCAGAATCAAACAGCTCTCTATCCACAACAAACCTACTGAAATACACAGTGGACACACCAACTCACTAAGTGAGGATAGTGCTAATCTTATTAGTATTTTCCATAAATGTACTCTTTAACATCAGGCATGACAAAGGCTCAGAAAAGCTGAAGACCCCATCAGTTCTTTCAGGTATATTACAAAAATGCGTCTCTCTTGCTGGGAGTTAAAAACAAACATTGGATTTATAAATTTGAAATCTTTTTGCAAGAAATGTATCACCCACCTACGTGTATCCGGATAAGAAATTCAACCCATTCAGTCTTCATTACAATGAACTTTCTGGAACTACACCTGTGTGGACAAAAGAAAAACATTTGCAATTTGACATGTTCTTCCTTGTAACTCTACATTGTACAAGATACCTCGCTTATCATTTTACAACACAGTGGTGTATAACGAGATTAAGTTGTAATTTCCTTAAGGGTGCCAGTTATACAATGACAGGCAACGGTCAACGGTCAAGTTGACAGTCAACTTTCTTTTGCAGGTAGGTCATAAAGGAAGCGTGTGCTTCAGTGAACTAAAATGTTGCAAAGCTTACAATATCCTTGCTTGTTTAATTAATGTCTGCAGTCTGTAGATTATGATAAACCATATTTATTACACCAGTTAATGAGTGACACATACCACACAAGTGTTGTAGTCAGGGGTCACCAAGTATTCTAGAGCAAAACTTCCAGCAAGTCAGACACACAACAGCAGACCTTCATTTATGCTCAAACACAAACCCGCACAATGCTAGATTTGAAAAGTGCATTGAGATGACTTTTGTTATGAATTGGCGCTTTATAAATAAAGCTGAAACTGAATACTTTTGAAATCACAAAATATTTGTGTTTTTGATTTTTACATTTACCTAACCAGATAAAACTCCTGAATTCCAGAGTGACAACAAATGGCATGCTTATTGTAAAAACACTCACAAAAGACTTAAAATGAAATAATAAACTCTACATTGATGTCAAAATATATCTCTACAATAACTAATCCTCAATTTCACTGCTCATGTCTAAGCACCACTGTTAGCAAACAACTAGATAATATATGACATTTTATAGTGGTAATGAAATGACAAGGTTATCAGCTAACTAACATCAGATGGCACATTTCTTTGACTGTTTGAGCACCAAGCATCACCATGTAAACAGTCCGCCTCCTCTCATCTCGCCGGAGCCTTGCGCTCTGACAGAAAACAGTGCGCCCACTTAGTGCTCTGGAACATTGATGAGGCAGGTCTGTGGAAAAATGTGGGCTCAACAGTCTTCTAATTCCTGGTGTTTGGCAGCATGAGCCCCATTTCCTCCAGACCGGACATTTACTAGGAGCAGCCTTAAGTCCAAGCTGGGCCAGCATGGCTCTATCCCGGCTCTCTTTCCTCTCCTCTGGAGCGATCACAGCAGATGAAGTATATGCATATTGAGCAGTAATCAGAATAGAAAATGCCCGGTTCAAAATAACATTCAATAAGCTGATCCATACTGGGGCGTTGAGAGCAGACAAGGCTATGGCTCAGAAGGAACGGAAGAAGAGAAGTATTGCGAGCTAACGCAAAAGCATTCCAAAGGAAAGCAAAGTAGTCCTCAAAAATATTCCTCTCCTGATCCTTAGGAGCCACTGTAAGGTAAGGAGTCGCACAGTTTGGGGAAATTAGCTCCTCTGATGTCTGGAGTACGACAGACGGCTGAAGAGTGTACAGGTTGTGACTGAGGTGGGTTCTATCGTTTATAATCGTATACGAAGGCACCGATCCAATATCACTGATGCTCGGAGATGGGTTCCAATGATCCTAAGAAACCAGTTTAATGTGCAAACCACCGGCCCACATCATCTGTGAAGCAGCCAAATCAGAAATATCTCTTAAAATAATTTTCAACACAAGACACCCTCTATCCTTTAACCCTCTGAAATTCTAAGTAACTATATAAAACATATTATATTATGTTGAATACAATATCTGAGTACACCCCTCACATTTTTGTAACTATATAATTATATCTTTATATGTGACACAACACTGAAGAAATGAAACTTTGCTATTTAGTTTATTTGCACTTTTAAAACACAGGAGATTCAAAGTGCCTTACATCAGGCAAAAATGCATTTAACACAAAAATTTCTAAAGCTGAATCAATAGTTTAATAAAACTTAATGACATAATAACAAAATTAACCAAGTTGTCATTCAGTTAATAGAAGTGCAGTAGAAAGTGCAGTAGAAACATTCAAAAGGTACAGTGGTATCTATATAGATTTCCTTTTAAATCAGAATTGATCGATTTCATTGGCTTCTTGATTACGTCCAATACTTCTCTTGTCATCGTATCACTGTCTTATTTCAGTAAGAACGTTATTCATTCAAAAGAATATTGTTATATGGTTTGCGCAGGATCTGCAAAAGAACAGATAACAAGTTCATGTTAGATGATCAGAATCAGTATCAGAATCAGCTTTATTTGCCAGGTATGTGTACACATACAAGGAATGTGACTCAGGATTGTACATTGCTCATGATGTGCTTTCTCATACAATAAAGGAAATAAATACAGTAAAGGAAATTGTAATACAATAAAGGAAATGATTTAAGTGACTGATCAGTTATATATTATTATTATATATTAACATATTTTATTACTTAAATTTTTACTTTACTTAAATATTACTTTTGAATTATTAAATAATTGTTATTAATTAATTATAAATACAAATGTAGCCTGTAAATAAGAGAATGCTTTTGAATTCACAGCCTAAAAGTTTGGATTGGCTGTTTTGTTATTGCAGCACTGTTTTTTTTTTGTTGTTTTTTTACAGTACACACTACCTCTACTACTTATACTTATACAACATTGTGCTGCGGTGAAAGTACTTTTATTCAAGTACTGTACTTAATAAACTGTGTTTCTCCAAATGTGTTGATTTTGAATGTTTACTTTTGTGTACATTCTGCTAATAATACTTTCTTACTTTACTTAAGTAAGGCTTAGAATGCAGGACTTTTAGTTCTTGTGGAGTATTTCAACAGTACTTTTACATAAGTAAAGGGTCTGAATACGTCTTCAACCACTGCATCAGGACCACAGATCAGCTTCAGTAGAGTGAAACAGCTACTTACATTGACATGTGTAAGCCACCTCCAGGTACTTATAAGTGCCGAAACAGGGGTCTCCAAACACTGAGTTGCTCGCTCTGATAGTACAGCTGCTTTTCCCGTTACAGCTGTGGATGCAGAGTGATGTGAGTGAATACAGGTTTAAATGTGCACAGAAGACTGGGAAAAATGGATGTTATTTGAGAAAAGATTAACATGTATGTGCCCTTGATTGTAACCCACCTTGGAAAACTATGACCTGGATGACTGAGAGTCTTCACAGACAACATGAACGATAATAATCTCTACTGTTAAAAGACAAACAGTGGGCAGCTGTACCTTTCAGCAACTTTGCTTGTGGGGTTTGAGCAGTCGACATTTTGGACCTGAGAGGCAGGTCGTTGGTAAGAGCATGTGGTGGGGTCACGCCGTCCATAATCAGCACCATAGACTAATATAATCTGCTGTCCATCTGAAAAAAAGAGGAGGGGAAATATTCAGATGAATGTTGAAATGCAAAGAAAATGTAACTTTATCACATTAACCCACCAAAAATAAAACAAAACTAAGGAGAAAATGTGATCTTACAACAGTGCAGGTTTGCCGAAGAGTGCTCACACACTACGCTGTAGACTGTCAAAGTAAAGACAACATCAGACATGTTACATTCATCAAACGTATTTGTAGCTTTGTTTCAATGTTAGTTACGTGCACAAATTTAACTGACTTGCTGGGAGGCAGGTGTACTTGGTCTCCAGATATTTGTAGATGCCATCACAAGGATCAGAAGTACGGACAACATTTGTGTTTATTTCACACACCCTTTTGCCATCACATCTAAAGGGAAAAGATATTTTGCTAATAGTCAAAAGTGATAATGGCTAATGGGATCACCAAAGTCCCTAGGATTCATCCTTGGAGGACTATGAATGTGAGGTTAATAGTTGTATAGATGAAAGCCCATCGTTAATAATATTTTCTCTGGAACATAAAAAACACTACAATACCCTCCCCCTTACATTTACAAAAACAATTTATTTATGGAAAACATAAAAAAACTGACTATTTCATCTACTTTTAAACAAAGAGCTCCTAAATAAACTTTTATCGCCAAATGCAATCCGTTTTCACTCCCATGTCGTCATATACAGTTGTGCTCAAAAGTTTGCACACCCTTGGAATTGGTAATAAATGTACCATGTGTAAAGAAAACATGAGTGAGCAGGCAAAATACATGTCTTTTATTTCTTATGGGATTCACATTGAACTGTAGGTCATAGCAGAATGACACCATAAAACAAAACAGTCTGGTTAACCTTAGTTCTTAATACTGTGTATTGCCACCTTTAGCATTAATGACTGCGTGCAGTCTTTGTAATAGATGTCAATGAGGCCCCGAATTCTTGCAGGTGGCATTCATCTTGGCAAAATGCCTCCAGTTCATGCAAAGTCTTTGGTCGTCTTGCATAAACCGCACTTTTGAGATCTCCCCAGAATGCCTCAATGACATGAAGGTCATGAGACTGTGATGGCCACTCCAGAACCTTTACCTTTTTCTGCAGTGACCACTGGAGGGTCAACTTGGCCATTACCATGCTGGAAAGTCCAGCAGCATCCCATTTGCAGCTTCCGTGCAGGAGAATGCAAATTGTCTGCCAGTATTTTCTGATAAAATGCTGCATTCATCTTGCCATCAATTTTCACAAGATTCCCTGTGGGGATGGTATTCTGTTCACTATAGGCCTTGTTGACCGCTCTTCAAACATAGCGCTTATGGTTGTGGCCATACATCTCAATTCTGGTCTCGTCACTCCAATATCTAGCCTCCTCAGTGCATCCACGTGAGGGCTAACAAACTCATTGACTATTAATAAACACCAACACTAATAACACTGTGACACATCCACCAATGAGTCCCTGTGCAAGACACTTGCTCCAGGTGTGCGACCTCTGACATAAATAGCAAGTGTAAGTCACTTTGGATAAAAGCATCAGCTAAATGAATAAATGTAATGTAACTGCAATTTACAAAGCCACTGGTGTGGGAAATTAATATTTAATTGCCATTTTCACCTGCGTGTCACTTTGTGACAGGCCAAACATTCATGGGTATGTAAACTTTATTATTTCTGTTATTATTATTATTGTTTAAAAAGCAGCCAAACAACTATGTAAAAAGAGATGTCTTCATATGATCACTATCCTTAAATCAAAGACAGTTATTTTGCATGATCGGTCATATTTTCAAAATCAATGCCAAAATTTCAAAATGTCTGCCAGCATATGGACACATGGTCAAAACCCTTTGGCGTCAGTTTGTAACTTTTAGCTGTTACAACTCTTTACTTGCTTGCTAACTACTTTTTGAAAAAAGTAGAATACAACAGATGACCTTATTTTATCAGATGTGTACCTTTTCTGGAGGACCTCTAGAGTTCCCTGCTGAGAGCACTTTGTATCGGTAAGCTGTTCTGGAGGTTTCCCCTCACTGCAGATCTCACTGTCTGCACGTCCATAGAGAGCTTCCTGCACACTGATCACTCCGTTATCTGTTACAGTGGAAAGAAACAAGAACAGAGGAGAAAAAAAATATAACGACTTCTCTTTGTAAATCTTTATAAACAGTCACAAATATATACAATCCTTTCTTTTTTTGTTAAAAGAGAGCTGGCCACTGTAGTATTTAGAAAACAGGAGGAAATAGTGCATCACAGTTGGGGACTATTTTTAGCGGCGGATTAATCCACACGTGGTGCTCTAGTGAGTATTTGGGGCAGCAGGATGGTGCATGTGGGACTGAGTCAGAAATACCTCCAATGTGTGTGATCATCGTGATGAAGCAACATGTCACCCAGTGTGGCTCACTGAAGGGTTTTAATAATTTCATCGGATTATTTTACGATTAGAAAATTATAGATTATCACCAAACATAACATATAATTTAAGTATTTGATATTCTCTCTATTTATCAGAGTTGTTTTAGTCGGCTGTTGAATCTGATGTAGGCTATGTCATTGATTAAATGTATTATTTATAATTACTAAACCCACTTTTGTAACATTAAGGGTTGGATAATCTGTTCAAATGCTGATCATTTTTACTTTCAAATTTCCACAGTCTCAGGGCATACCACAAACGTATCTCTTTGGGGCAAATGTGTTAAAAATGTATCCTATAATTCTGTGCATATATACAGTGTGTTTTCTTTTCATTTAGATCTAAATGTTTCAAAGCCTTCTCAACACTGCATGTCATTCTGGTGAATAACCCTAAAAACAAGCAAATTTTAAGATGTTTTGTCTAAATAAACCCCCCTAAAAACCATTAAGTTGTTTCAGTTGTTCATGCATACCACAGCTCAGGCGTTGCACGTTGTTGAGCTCATCACAGGTGATCACGCTCTCTATGCCAGTGGTGGTGGTGGTCTCAGAGTAGTGCAGTTGACCTCTAGAAAAGTCTGGAATGAAAGCATATTTGCTGAATCAAAAGTTGTGTAATAACAAATGTCTTCAACTCCTGTCTTATAACTTCATGGTACCTCATTCTGGATGTCTGTTGTTGAGCAGTTTATAGAGACATGAAGTGAAACTACAACTTCTGGGTTCTGTTGCAAAAGTAAGAAAATCTCATTCAAAATTCCCCATACATTTGGAACTACACTATTACTAAAATACACATTACTAAAAATCCAGCACTGGGGCAGAGCGACAGTAGGTCGTGTCATGTTTCGATAAGGTTTACAAAATGCTGAATGAGAGATTGCATTGAACAAGTGGAACAGAGGATACAGGAAGTGATGTCAGAACTTCAGCTCTTAAATTCACATTTTACATGCGTGTATGAGAGTTTTATCTAGCACAGAACAATGTGTTACTGTGTTGTTGACTCAAAAAATGTCCAAATGATGATGCGAATATACTAGTATAGTCTATAGAAGCCAAACTTGTCATTCAACACTCAAACATACATTTACCTGCATTTATGAGCAAAGACGTTGCTACCAGCACTGGAAGAAAAAAGCATATTTCAAAGTTTATTTATTGTTTCACTTATCTACTTACAGTGTAAAATCCCCCTTTTGACCATATTTAGCAGTTGTAATCACTTTTTTTCCATTGATACCAAATCTAACATAATAAAAGGGTTTCTCAACATCTTCAAATCAAAATTCAAGCCTCCTGATTTTAGACGAACCTACATAATTATCAGGTCTGTCATCAGTGAGTTGTGTACTCACACAGTGTGGTCCCGAGGCTGCAACAGGACATGGCTTCAGAAGATCCGGTTTGAGGTGTAGAGTTAAAGTGATGGTGGTTGAAACAGACCCCTGATTTTTATTCTGTTGTGGTAAGAACTGCCTCTCTTCATGCAAGAGTCCACTAAACACAAAAGTAGTCATGATAACATTTCTGTTTGTTTGCAGATTAAACAAACAAGATATGAGAACAGCCACTCTATGCAAGGCGCCAACGGAAAAGCCAAAATGTTGCAACTCAAAAGAAACACGGACTGAAAGTAGAAACTCGAACAGAAGACATATCAAAAAGCTGCCCTGAGACTTTGCTTGAACTCGTTATACTCACTGACACAGAACAGGCAACCCACAAACACGACTCAATCAGACAAATATCCAAAAAGGTTTATTCCATCAGCATGAAATCAAGGGCCTTCAAACACGTATAATTATAAATAAACTGCCTTAAAATATTGATTAATGACATACATTACAACTAATCCACATAAAGTGTTCTTATAAAAGAATTTGTTATCATTTGGCAGACAAGTTATCTGAGAACAAACAAGGGAGAGAACTGAGATTTCATGGTTCAGTTCTCTGTTTGAGTTTAATCTGCATCAAACTCCATTCAGGTCCCTCAGCTTCTACCAACAGACACATTTAACTTGTGAATACATGTCCGCAAATCAGCTCATATGTCATAGAAAATAGACGCTCCTTATAACTTTAGAACTTTCCATAAATCATGAACTCCAACTTTGTTTGAAGACCTGCAGGGTCTCCGAGCGACATGCAAGTGGTTGACTGCACAAACTGGAAAAGTGCAAACTGTTCCAGACATTCAACTTGAGGACCGAAATAAAAATTGTTCATTTCCCACTCTTGTACTAAGGCTAAAAACTAAAATAAAGCTACTGTAAAAGTGGTCACCAGACACATATTTCACTTATACATCAACGTCCATGAATCTGCTTAGAAGTCATAGAGAATAGACGCTTCTTATAACTGCAAAAAAAACATGATGTTTTCAGTTTCAAAGTAATCCAGTGATAGTTGTCAGTAATTTCCTGGGTACACTGCAAACAGGATAATTTAGTACATTTTTATGGTGCCAATTTGACAAAATGTCAACAAATATAGGCTATATAATAATAATAATAATCCTTACTTGTAGAGCACTTTTCAAAAACAAGTTACAAAGTGCTTTAACAAGTGTAAAGAATAATACAAAAAAAAGATAAGAGCATGAAAATTTAATATAAAATTAGTAAAATACAATAAAATAAAAGGGATAAAATAAAGTCAAATAAGATCGGGAAAAGCTCTCCTATAAAAGTATGTTTTAAGAAGGGACTTAAAAGAGTTCACTGACTCAGCCGACCTGATTTCCTCGGGCAGGCTGTTCCAGAGCCTCGGGGCCCTGACAGCAAACGCTCTGTCCCCTTTAGTTTTCAGTCGAGACTCTGGAACAGACAGCAGACCTCTGCCCGAGGATCTCAAGGTACGTGCTGGTGCGTATGGGACTAAAAGGTCAGAAATATAACAAGGCGAGAGGCCATGAAGAGCTTTAAAAGTGATCAATAGAATTTTAAAGTCAATTCTAAAACATACTGGGAGCCAGTGTAATGAAGCTAAAATAGGAGTAATGTGGTCATATTTCTTTGTTCTGGTTAAAAGCCTGGCAGCTGAGTTCTGGACAGTCTGGAGTCGATCAATAGATTTTTGGGTTAAACAGGTGAAAAGGCTGTTGCAATAATCCAGGCGTGATGAGATGAAGGCGTGTAAAATGGTCTCGGTGTCCTTAAAAGTTAACATAGATCGAATTTTAGCTATATTTCTAAGTTGATAAAAACATGATTGAACAAGCTTTGTGGTGTGCTGCTCGAAATTTAAATTACTATCAAACCAAACACCAAGGTTCTTTGCCACAGGCTTAATGTGATTTACTAGGGAACCAGCAGATGGCAGTATTTGATTTGCCATCTGCTGGGACCCGATGACCAGGAGTTCAGCTGGAGGAAATTATTTGACATCCATTTTTTAACTTCACAAAGGCAGTTGTTAAGTGAACTCAGCATTCCAGGATCTGTGGATCTGACGGGCAAGTATATTTGTGTCATCAGCATAAATATGAAAAGAAATGCCATGTTTATGGATAATATGTCCAAGGGGAAGCAGATACAAGGAAAACAAAATGGGTCCTAAGACCGACCCCTGAGGCACACCATATTTAACTGGACAGAATGAAGAGACATAGTTGTTTACAGACACGCAAAACTTCCTATTTGACAGGTAGGATGAAAACCATTCTAGAGTAGTACCAGAGATCCCCACCCAGTGCCTCAGTCTGTCTAACATGATGTTGTGATCAATGGTGTCAAAAGCAGCGCTAAGGTCCAGGAGTACAAGGACTGAGCACATGCCTTCATCAGCAGACATTAAAAGGTCATTGGTGACTTTAAGCAGGGCAGTGTCAGTGCTGTGGTACTTCCTAAAACCAGACTGAAACTTTTCAAATATTTTGTTATTTTCCAGCACAGTAAAAATTTTTTAGGTATTATATCAAGTGGGCCGGAGGACACTCTCATTTGTGATATTGTTTTTAAAAGCTCAGACAAGTCGATGGGATAAAACTGGTTAAAACTCTGTTGTTGCTGGTGAGGAACCTCGGAGTAAGAGGCCACGGGGGTAATAGAGGCTCTGATTGACACCACCTTATTGGTAAAATAAGATAAAAACAATTCACAGTCATCATTACTTCTAGCTGAGGCACAAGGAGGGGTTGGGTTTACCAGCTGATCCACAGTCTTAAACAGAAACCTGGGATTGTGTTTATGTGTAGTAATGAGTTCAGAAAAATAGTGTGTTCTCGCATCCTTAACCATTTTATTGTAGTTAATTAATAAATCCTTCAGACTGAGGTAATGGACTTGGAGACTGGATTTTTTCCATCTGCGCTCTACTTTCCTGCATTCCCTTTTTAGGCTGCGAATGCTGTCATTTATCCAGGGTTGCTTACTAGCTTTAGACGTAGGCCTAACCTTTAGAGGAGCAGTAATATTTAGTGACGACAAGCAGATATGATTGAAATGATCGACCAGATTGTTGGTGTTGGAATCAGACAGGTGTTGGCTTTGGCTCTGAAAGAATGCGCAAAACTTTGTTCATTAAAGATGCGACAACACACGGAGCTTGGTGAGGCGGCATGAGTAACAGGCGAATCGCAGCTAAAAACAATACATCTGTGGTCAGATATGGTCATGTCCACTAATTCCACAGAGGAAATGCTGACACCCAGGGTAAAAACCAAGTCCAGTGTATGACAACGGTTATGTGTTTGCCCTTTGACATGTTGTTTGAAGTTAAAAGAAGTGGCCATATTAAAAAAGTCAGTTGCATTAACATTGTTGGGGTCATCAACATGAATATTAAAATCGCCACAAAGAACAATTCTGTCATAATTTAAAACCAGAGTAGATAAAAATTCAGGAAGTTCTGATAAAAATCCTCCAGGCGGTTTTGGGGGGCGATAAATTATAACAAATATGATAGGTTGCAGCCCTCCAACTTTAAGAGTGAGAATTTCAAAGGAGCTAAATTCATCACAGCGTACTTCATGACATTTAAAATTTTTCCTATACACGCTCACTAGCCCACCACCACGACCACTGACCCTCGGTTGACTAAAGCAATCATATTGAGGCGGACACAGTTCAGCTAGCTGGCTATAGTCATTCATTTGCAACCAGGATTCAGTTAAAAACATAAAATCTAGATTTGCAGACAAGATAAAATCATTTAAGATAAAAGTCTTACTTGAAAGTGATCTCACATTGAAGAGAGCCATTTTAAATGAGTTTGTTCTGGGTGCTGGAGTTGGTGCAGTTGTCCTAATCCTTAAGAGATTACTATGATTTCTGTGTGGGATGTGCACATTTCGGTTTACTGGTCTATGCTGATGATGACAGGAATAGAAGTCTGTGGAACAGCGCTGGGAGCAGACGGCTTTACATGCCAGCAGGTGGAGACAGTTGTTTGTGGCAGTGAGGCAGAGATCTGTTCTGTGAGTGGTGGTGTGTCCAGGTGTGCTGCATGAATGATGAGTCATTCACGTAAGTCATGTGTGGACCGCACCACATGCTGTATGTGCGCAGCTAACATTTCTGAGCCCCGTTTGTTTGGGTGAAGTCCGTCTGTCTTAAAAAGAGACATTCTTTGCCAGAAAATATTAAAATTATCCACATAAAACACACGGTGAGCCCTGCAGGCGGACTGGAGCCAGTCGTGGAGGCCAAGGAGTCTACTGAAGCGGCCAGCATCGCGACCGACTGTGGGAATGGGACCAGAGATAAAAACGGACTTTCCGCACTGCTTTAAAAAGTTAAGAAGACGGTTAAAATCTAATTTTGTCAGCTCAGACTGCCGAAGAGCTGTGTCATTTGTTCCGACATGGACTATCACTCTTGTGATGGAGGACGGGAGCGACGGCATCAGGTCCTGGAGTTTTTTTAAAATGTCAGCCGTGGTGGCACCAGGGAAGCAGCGAGTGGTAGCGTTAAAGAAACGGAGGTTTCTGGTTATGGAGTCACCAATTATTAGTGTGGTTGGGGAGAAAAGAGGACGAGGAGATGCTGGTTGTTGGGATCCAGAGCAGGACTGAGCAGAATCTGCTTCAACACTGCGTGCGGACTGAGGATGGAGTGTGTGAACTGTTGAGTGTTGTGTTGGAGTAGCAGTAACAGACCTGACAGAAGGGCTACCCGACGGTGCAGGGTAGAGACGGCCTCCGGAGCGTCTGAGCACAGCCTCCTTCAGGATCCTATGTCGGGAAGCGGAGGTTTTTGACCGGGATGACGGCCGCCGATCAAGTCCGGCGGCAGACCGGCGGCCCAGTGCAGGAGATGTAGCCGTTGGAGGAGATGCAACAGTGTCGGCAGGCACTGTGCGCCGAAAGAGATCCGTATCAGGGAGACTCGAAGCCGCAGGTGAATCCGCTGGATGGACCGGAGTGTCGTTAGACAAGGCTGCATAGCGGTTGGAGAGGCCGATGTCCGGAGGAGAGGCAGCCCCATCCGAGCCTCTCTTGCAGCCACGGACCACCACTTCAGCCCAGGTTGACTGATGCTTCGGAGTCGAGCAG